GTTAGAAAGTTAGATTCTACCCTGTTAGTTGTGATATGTGTGCCCAATCCTGGATTAGAATCTGATGGCAAGTATTATTTCCCCGTCACACGTTCCCAAGGAAGATAGGTAGATTGGCTCCCCTAGTCAAATTCTACTGGATTTTAGCACCATACCCTGGCGAAGTTTTGCATGGATATGAGCCTGCCCAGTCCAGAAAGCTTCACAGTTGATCCTTTTATCTGGTCACTTGGATTTCTAGGGTATAGGAGCTGGGGGACAAGCAGTTTTCCTAACCAGTACGCCCAGGCTTCCTTCCTATTAGATTAGAGGTTGTCAAATGTTTTTAAAAGCAGAAATGTTTTTTCCTAAACGCAGAAGTCAAGCTGTTGAGGTTGGAACAGAGGAGGGCAAGGCAGAGCCTAGCTGTGTGCCTCTCCTGGCCCTCGAGTTTAACCATAACCCTAAGTCCATTAAGTCTGTATTTCCATACCGTATTCCATTAATTTGAGCATGCACACATTTATGAACTTAGGGCCATAAAGTAGGACAAAAAGGAGGACATTGCAAGCATTCTAAAAGGTAACAGACATTTTTAAAAACAGCACAATTTCCCCAAGTAATTTCTATCATTTGTCTCTTTCCTCTTCCAGTTTGTACTGTGGCTTGATCGAATTCTGGGTATTCATCTGATTTCTTTTGAGATTTGTACTTGAGTCTTTTATAGGTGAGGAAACTGACACTTAGATGTTAATTAACTTTCTCAGAGTCACAGGTCTACTGAGTAGCAGTAGGAAGTTTTCACTACCCTTAATTGTATCTCTTGTGTGACTGTTGAGACTTTGGACATTTACTTACTTAAAAATTTGCATGATAAAAAAGGGCAGATTCAACTTTATGGCCTTCAGCATTTAAACAGTCTTTTCCATGGTTTGTGTACATGATCTTTCATGTACATGGTTTTTAACCTCAATCCACCTTTCACCCGAGGTTTGAAGTGTCTGGCTTTATATTCCGACCTCTTCGTTACCTAGATTGATGTGATCTTGAGAGTTACTTAATTACTTTGTGCCTTTTGTCATCTGTAAATAAGGCTAGAAAAGGTATGAGGATTAAATATAAAGCATCTGAGTTACTATATGCATGGCATACAGTAAATGCCCAGAAAATGTTAGCTCATATAATTATGACTTTGTAAATGTCTAGACATTTGTCCCCACTTTCAGGTGTTAAGATGTACAAACTTTAAGTACCGTATTCCATTAATTCGAGGATGTACACATTTATTACCATTGATGGCATTTTAAATTCCTTGATTTGTAATAATCTATTAGACTGCTAAAGATGAAAAAAATCTGGTGTTCAAAAAACCGTTCATCTCAAAGCATAATATAAAATCAGTAAATTATCTGTTGTTCTGAATTACCCGGGCCTGTTGTCATATTTCCCAGGAGACTTAGGGTTAGGGTGAAACTCGAGGACCAGAAGAGGCACACAGCTGGGCTCTCTCTGCCTTGCCCTCCTCTTCTGTTTCAACCTCAACAGCTTGACTTTGTGTTTAGGGGAAAACATTTCTGCTTTTAAAAACATTTGACAGCCCTGGCTGGTGTAGCTCCGTGGATTGAGTTACAGGCCTGCGAACCAAAGGATCAAGGTTCGATTCCCAGTCGGGGCACATGCCTGGGTTGCAGGCCAGTTCCCAGCAGGGGACAAGCGAGAGGTAACCATACATTGATATTTCTCTCCCTTTCTCCTTCCCTTCGCCTCTAAAGATAGATAGATAGATAGATAGATAGATAGATAGATAGATAGATAGATAGATAGATAGATAGAATCTTAAAAAAAAAACATTTGACAACCTCTAATCTGGATAATGGTTCAATTCTTCATTAGCTCTCTGCTTTGTATCAGCGGTTTTTCAAGGTATTGAGAGTACTTCACTAACACTTGTTAGTAAGAGTTAGTGAGTCTTGAATAGTGGTTACCAGAGAGGGAGTGGGGGGGGTGCAAATGGGTAAAGGATGTCAAATAAATATATGGTGATGTATTGGAAACCAGACTTTTGGTGGTGAGCACACAACAGAGTATACAGAGAAAGTTGTTAGCCAGTGTTACCTCAATTTAAAAAAAAAAGAGTTAGTGAATCTTGCTAATGAGGCCAAACATGGGTTCAGGCCTTATGTAGGTCATTGAGCATTACTGTGTCTGCTACCAGCACCCCCCCCCCCCAATTTGGAGTTTGTAATTCAGTGCATACTGTGTAAGAGCTGCTGATGGAGTGAGTCATTGGCCATCTTCCTGGGGAGGAAGTGTTTTGTCATTTACTCAACATACAGGCTCCATAGGCCAGCAGAAAACTGAGGAATGGAATAAGTTTATTACCTTGCCCACACAAGGAAGACATGTAGATCTCAGCTTTTGTATCAATCCCAAGAGGTGATGATGTTCACTCACTCTTATACCCCTGAAGCATTGTCAAGATCAGATGTAAGTTCCAAGATGTATTCCAAAGCCGCATATAAATTCTTCCCAGGTTATCTTTCCTTGGGGAAAATCATGAGATCGGTAGTTTGCCTTTTAGAGCCCCTGCTACTATTTACTTGCCAAATACAATTTTAAAACTTCAAAGGAGCCCTGGCTGGTGTGGCTCAGTGGATTGAGTGCCAGCCTGCAAACCAAAGGGTCCCTGGGAGTTCCTTTCAATTCCCTGCTGGTCCGGGTCCCATGGAGGGGGTGCGCAAGAGGCAACTGATCAGTGTTTCTCTCTCTCCCTCCCTTTTTTTCTAAAAATAAATACGATCTTAAAAGAAACTTCAAAGGAGGTCATATTTTGAACAATTAATACTGCTTGCTTCCCTCAGCTGGCTTGCCCTTCATCTTTCTTTCCTTTGTTGCCTCCCTACCCCCCCCCCACCTTTTTGGTGCTCTTTTTCCCCCCTTAATACTTTTCACTTCTCTTTGGAACCTCTTTTATACCTTCCTTCATGGTGATTGAGAAAGGTAGAGGTAATGTTCCTAGAAAAAGACTTTTGCCGAGCTCCAAGGAGCTACAGACTTCCTCACAGACCTTAATGCATTTTGTTTGGTTCCTCGGAAATAAGATGTAAACAAACCTCAAACTTCAAGCTTTTAGTTTCCATTTAGCTTTTCCCTCTTCTTAAGGCATTTCTATTTTCCTACAGACTAGGCAATAGAATGTAGGAAAAGCAAAACTGGGAAAACAAAGCTTTTAAAGGAAATAGCTTCTTGTGTATTAGGCTTCCCACTTCCTCCTCCAAGTGACGGGGAGGCCTGTGGACGGAGGAAGACAGTGACCGTTTTTTGTGTTTGAGTTTTCCTTTTAAAAGTTTTTGGGTAATTTAGGAGTGGGGTAATTAATATCCTACTTACCTATTTGTTTATTTTGAAGAATTCATTTTTTATCTCTTGACTGGGCAATTGGAGTGTTCCTTAGCCCCCTTAGGGCCTGCTGTGCTCTCGGATCTAGACATGTATCCCTCACCCTTTCACACACTGGCCCTTCTTAACAACCCCAGGCTTCTCTTTTGCTCTCTGTACCCCGGAGATTCCCCAAGTATCATGCTACCCGAGTCTGGTCTCACAGGGTCACACAGCTGCAGTGTTTCTCAGATGTTCATGCATGTTTCATGAAACACTGGGGGAGGGAAACATGACTCCCGGTCTTTTTTTGCGCTTTCCAAAATAAAACAAGTAGAAAGGTAACTTGCTCTTTACCCTCCAAGGTAACCACTGCTCCACTGCTGTCTCAATAAAAGCTCGTACCTCCTAGGTGATGGTTACATTTCTCAAGACAGACCGACCATAGGCTTTTGGGGGTTAGAATCCTTCATGCAGAATGTTTTAGTATCTAAATCCTCAGAGTGGTCCCCACTGTAAATGGTGATATTACAGGATTGTATAAGATATTGTGAATTCAGTAAATGTAAATTCCTATTTCTTAACTTTTGATGTTATAGACAGATCCAAGTAAATGCTTCTAGAAGTTTTTTGGTTAGAGTAGTGTTTGCTTTCAAGTGATTGCTTTTTGCAAGCATCACTACTTCAGCAAAACTGAAAAGCAATTTGGGCCGTATGAGAAGTCATATTAAGTACTTAAGCACCGATTTTATGCCTGTCAAGTAACATCATTGTCTTCGGGGAGGATAGGTAGAGTGTAGTATCTCACAGTTCTGATTCTGGCTTTGACTTTCAGGGTTCTTTCACGCTTTCCAATGTAGAGCTCATTCTTGGTGACTTTGAGCTGTTCTCTTCGTGTAGCTGAAGGAGTTGCGGATGATGTTTGTAAGGATTTGGGCAGCTTTACAGAATCAATCTTTGGTTGCAAGATGGTTTGATAATGTTTAAAAATAAAACAAATTGGTTTTGTGGTTCCTCTCTTTGCTTTTACCTTCAGGTTAACTTCCTTATCTTCTGATTTTTAAAAGTTTTTTTGGTTTCAGTGGTTTGCCACCACCCTGCTTTTACAGGGCCAGTGAGATACATTTACACAGGCAGGAACTTGGTTGCCTTTGAAGAGTTATGCCTGGCACCTATTCAGGAAGGTTGTTTTGGGGAATACAAAGTGGCCTCTCCACATTAATAACGTGATCCTTAATTGCAAAAAGATTTATGCAGTTTTTAACTTTATTGTAGTTTCCCATCCAAGAGCAGACATGATTGTTTTGGTGACTTAGATATATTGAAATTCAACCTTGTAAATCCTAATTATTGTTTTGCAATTTGTAATGACATTTTTGGGCTGTTAAATCTGTTAAATCTTTTGGTACTTTAATTCCCTATTTTTTAAGTTGATGGAGTTTTAAAATTAGCTTTAAGATATTAAATGCAATTTATCTTTAAGGTATTGTGAACTTTAAAAATGGGAGAGGGAGGGGTTTTGTTAAAGAAATTATCACTAGCCATGGTGACAAAGGGGGCTTTTCTTTGGAAAGAAGATACATATCTGGAATTACGATAAGTGTAGGCATGGCCCACTTATTTTTCTTTCCTTGGTTTTTTAGAGTGAAGACATAGTCCAGAGAGGGAGGTGTAAAGCTCCAGGTACGGGCTAACTGCTGGATGGGTGTGCTCCAGGGGCATCTTTTTAAGCTTCTTGCATGAGGCCTGTTGTGCAGATATGAAAAAAATTGACTTCAGAAAGATGATGGCTTTTTTTTCTAATTAATAGGGTATAATTTCTTGTTCCTAGGAAGCTAGAAATATTTTCTAGCTGTTTCTCAACTCTCTCCTTAGGTAAAATTTTTCAAGGCAGGTTTATCTCCCAGTTGAACTAACTGTTCACTAGTTCTAATAGCTGTGAAAGGGGGAGGGAGCAAGAGAGAGAGGAAGGAGGGGAGGGAGCAAGAGAGAGAGGAAGGAAGGGAGGGAGAGAGGAGTGAGAGGAGCAGTACTCCACACATCAGCTACCCAGCTAACTTTCTTTCCTATTCCAATTAAAAACTGGGAGACCAGGTAAACTAGAATGAGCGTGAAGACAGGGTTTAATGGTTTTTACACAGATGATGTTGCCCTCCTGGAATCAGGATTTGTCCAGCATGCTGATTTTTTAAATCAGCACTGGAGTTTAAATACAGAATTATACTCAAGATCCAGAACTAGTTTGGTATCTGAAAATGTGACCTGATTTGACTGAGCAGTTTATTAGGTTAAGTTTATAGTCCCAGACACTTCAAGAGAGGCTCTGAGATTACACTTTGGTTTAGAGGGCTAAGCCGGGAAGAGGTCTTTTCTGTTGGTATCTTTTCGCTGATTGGGGGAGGAGACAACTGTGATTAAGAATGGGGGAGGGAATGGAAAACCTTTTAGACTTCAAAAAAAGGCATTACTTTTCCTCCTTTTCATCTTGTCATGTCCTCTCAGTATACCATATATGATAATTTTACAGGCAGACTAACTTGCATAGAACAATCACTAAACCTAATGCTTTTTGTCTTGCAGTGATTTTAGATTTGAAATAAAAAATTACCTACAATATTTTTAAAAGAATTAAAGAATTTATTTATTGATTTTTAGAGAGAGGGGGAAGAGAGGGAGAGAAACATCAACATGTGGTTGCTTCTTGTGTGCTCCCTACTGGGGACCTGGCCCGCAGTGCAGGCATGAGCCCTTAACGGGAATCAAATCAGCGATCCTTTGCTTCCTAGGCTGGTGCTTAATCCACTGAGCCACACAAGCCAGGGCTACAATGTTTTTTATTCTTTACTTTAAAACTCTCCTCCCCCCAGATATTTTTTCATTGCCTAGACTCTTATTGGAAACTCACAAAATTTTCTGGTTTGCTGTAAATTATACTCATCACATTTTTGTAAAAAAAACTCCTACAAAGTGAGGTGCCAGGGAGATCATTACCAATTTAGGTCAGTGTATTTTTACAGGTGCAAGGCACTGGATTGGGAACTCTAGGAGACCCACTAATTATAGTAGAAGTACTCAAATTATGAAGTGGAATTTAAGTCCATAAAGGGTTTAATCTAAATTAAGTTATTCTGGTTGGTTATTTTCAAGTTGTATCAGTTACTTCTTTTCTACCTTATATCATCTAGCTGCCAGAAGCTGGGGCGGGGGGTGAACATACAGTTCACTTAACTGTCTGAGGTTATGACTTAGATTTTCACTGTTCCTCATATAGACTGCTGGTGATTTTTAATGACACAGTTTCTTTTATAATTTAGTTGCAGGCTCTAATTTTCTCTTAAGTTCATCTAACTAGACTTCACATTTTACCTTTTAAAACAAACACATTTAGATTATGTGGGTGGAGGTATAAAACCACTTTACCTGTCATTGAATTCCCTGGTTACATCAAGATAGCCACATGCCACTTGGGTTGTTGTTTTTATTTCCTTGCTTAATTGTGCTTTTCTTTGCTCTTTCATTTTTGACAAAACAAAGGCTGTGATTTCTAGCATTTCTCTCTCAATTCAGTTTTTTAATTGCTTATACTAGGGGCGTCAAATTTATTTTCACCAGGGGCCGCATCAGTCTAGCAGTAGTAGCCTTCAAGGGGCTGAATGTAATTTCAACTCCTTAACAGTTAAGGTTTAGTTACATTTATACAGTCCTAAAATTATTTCAGCCCTTTGAAGGCAACTGCGAGGCTGATGTGGCCCCCAGTGAAAATTAGTTCAACGCTCCTGGCTTATGCTATTTAGACATTCTAAATGCAGGGTGTGCTATTTTTGATGGTTCCCTTTATCTACCCATCATTTTTTATGATTTGGGTTCTTAATGTTATAGCAGACTGATTGCATCTTCCTGCTTTGATATAATCATGCTTTGAATTACTGCCCTTAGAAAAGTATAGAATATTCACAGCAAAGACAACCAAGACAGACAACCAAAGAAAGAAAAGGGACCCACGAATATAAATTCATAATGAGGATAAGTAGTTAAAAAAAGGGTTGAGGGAAAGTTAAGGCTTTCTTTTGCAGTGAGCCATTGGTTGTAATCTTTCTTGTCAACTCTCTATTTCTAATGCATCCTTTATGGGGAAAGCCTGGAATGTGTTTCTTATTTAGAAATTAAAAACAACTTATGAGCATTTTTGTGAATAACTTTTAATCCTACTTTTTAATTTTAACACCTACATTTTGTATACCCATAGTTGTTTTTATCATCATTTAACTTTGTAACCCTTTTCTAAAATTGAGTGACTTGTGTGATTAATTTCTGCATTTTATACCCCCCCATAAGCATGTTGGATTGAATTATACTGAGCTGTCTTGTGACCTGCCTAAAGAAAAGCATTCTCCTTCATGTAATAACATTTCCATCTTGTAGGTTTTTTAAAGTAGTGTTGCTTTGTATATTGTAAGATGGATTTTAAAACATTACTCGGAATAAGTACTTCCCACATTTGGCTTGGTGAAAATTACTGTCAGGAGTGCACATCGTTTCGTACTCGGAGCAGTGCCAGGCTGCTCGATGAAGTCCATCACATTGAAGTACTCCCTTATTATAGATGTGATTCCTATTGAAATAGCGATGTAATTAAAAGCCATGTATTTTTAATGAATAATTAAAGCATAACAATAACTAGTGGGGATTTTTTTTTTAATTCGTTGATTCCTTTTCAAAGAAATTCTTGAACTAAAAAAATCTAATTCAGTTAATTGACTTTACACATTTACTCCTTGATCCAGGTATCTTTCTATAGGAGGAGGCACGTGACCAGCTCCAGTGCACACAGGAGAAACTAGGACAAACCTTCCAGTTACTTAACCAGTCCCAGCTTTGGTTATCATCCTCTACCTGTCTGGCAGAATTGGGGCTCGGTGAACTGTGTATCGAGTTGCACAGTCTCCTCTCACTTGCAACTTGTTTTTGCTTCCTTCCTAATAGGATGGAAGAGAGCTCCTGCCACTTGTGCCTCTGAAGCAGTAGATCAAATGAGGCAAGGTCTCTGGCAAAATAGAAAAGTAGTTCACTGCAATTACAGTTTTAAATTTTGAATGGTCAGTTTCTGCCTTCCTCGGTCAAATGCAGGACAGATGTCAGCCATGGTTACACAGACTAGAACATTTAGGCTTTTATACCTAAAAGCCTAAATGATGTGCCGCCTTTCGGTTTTTGTTTTGTTTTGTTTTGTTTTGTTTTGTTTTGTTTTGTTTTGTTTTGTTTTTTAATAAGTCCACACATTTAGGAGTTCATTCATTTACCTCTTTACAGGCTGAACATAACTTCTTTTTTCAAAGTTCCCTGTGTTGTTAGCTGAACTTGAGTGAAGTGAAATTATTGAGGTAAGGCAACCCTAATGATAAATGTGGAAAGAAGGGCTGTGAAATTTGGGAGCCTTCAGAGATGCAGTTTTAGAGTCATTGCCTAAATATTGAAATGCCACCATTTGTTGTTGGGAGGGATGTGGAGCTAAATTGAGAATGGGAGCACCACATCTGCCTTGACTGCTAAGTATATCCATCTCTGCTGCTCACCCACAATAGAATTCGTATGTCTGCATTCATTAATCCTGGTTTTAGCAAGTTTAAAAGAGGACAGCGAATGAAGAGGCTTAGTCTACATTTCTCTGTCCTTCTTTACCGGTTTGAGTGTTTGTCCCTAACAGGCCCTAGTTCTTTCTCATTATTAGAAAGGTCAAACAACTGAAAAGACATTATTTCCTAGTACTCTGTCATGAGGCAGAATGGTGCAATGCCATTTTCATTTTTAATTTCTCTGGCAAATTAAGGTTCAGAGTTAGTAAAGAAGGTCTGCCTTGTACCACCTAAAGAATGTCACTGAGGCAGCTGTTTTTAAAGCTGTACATTCCTTTTTTTCTCTTTTTTAAAAAAGATTATTTATTTATTCTTAGAGGGGAAGGGAAGATGAGAGGGAGAGAAATATCAATGTTTGGTCACCTCTCGTGCATCCCTTGCTGGGAACTGGCCTGCAACCCAGGCATGTGCCCTGACTGGGAATCGAACCTCGATCCTTTGGTTCAAAGGCCTGCACTCAATCCACTGAGCTACACCAGCCAGGGCAAAGTTCTTCATTCTGATGAGGGAGCACACTCTGCTGTCAACACATCAAGAAAGCAGTCCAGTACAGGTAGTGGTATGTGAGCAGTAAGTTTCTGGTGCCCAGTTCTTCAACCATCCTCTGGCCTGCTTCTGGTGGTCTGAACCAGTGGGCCTTCTTTTCCACTATTCTGAGGTTACTTTGTACCCAAGCACTGTGCTCATTGCTGTCTTTGGCACATGGAAACTAAGTTCCGACCAAAGCTAACAACCTAGTTCTCCCCCCCCCCCCCAATTTTACTTATTTATTTTCAGGGGGAGGAGAGGGAGAAAGAGGGAGAGAAACATCGATGTGTGAGAGATGCATTGATCGGTTGCCTCTTGCACACCCCCAACTGGGGACCTGACCTGCAACTCAGGTATGTGTCCTGACTGGAAATTGAACTGGCGACCCTTTGGTTTGCAGGCCAGTGCTCAATCCACTGAGCCATATCAGCCAGGGCTCAGTTCTTTTCAAAAACATTTTCCGTCCTAGCTGGTGTAGCTCAGTGGATTGAGTGCTGGCCTGAGAACTATAAGGTTGCTGATTTGATTCCTAGTCAAGGCACATGCCTGGGTTGTGGGCCAGGTCCCCAGTAGGGAGCACACAAGAGGCAACCACACATTGATGTTTCTCTCCCTCTCTTCCTCCCTCCCTCCCCCTCTCTCTAAACATAAATAAATAAAATCTTTTAAAAAACATTTTCAGACCATATAAGGTAAGAAGGTGAGTTTCCCCACCCCCTTCAGGTAGTATCAGATTTGGGGCATCCTCAAAAACTGATTTGCAGGGAGAGGAGTTTGGAAAATGTAAAACAAGTTTGTGTTTCTTCTGCTCTGTTAGCCACTGCTATCTTTATGGATTTGACACTCTATTTATCTGACAGTGCACATAGTACTGCTTCGCCAGGGAAAATCACACAAAACAAGCCTGGTGCATCAGCACTTTCATTGTGTGCCGGGCTGAGCCTCTCCTCACATGGTCACATCCCCCTTTTAATCCATTATTCCCATTCCCTTCCCCAGTCCTGCCTGTTTCTGTGGCACTTATTGCTGGTTTCCCTGAGCTCCTGTTTCCACTTTGTGTTTTTTGTGGGGCCCAGGAAGCTAAAGCTGTGTGTATTTGTGGATCAGACAAGTGCAGCAAGTTAATATCATTGACTTCTGAAGGGGAGAGTGAGGTGATGGCTGCGTTTAAGTTGGATTTCCTTCCAGAAATGATGGTGGATCATTGCTCTTTGAATTCCAGTCCCGTGTAAGTATTTTTGTTGTCTAATTTTTTTTATCATAAGCAGAGGAACTGGGTTGTTTTCTTTGTTATTTAATGAAACTGGTCCCTTTCCTTAAAAGAAAAATTGGGTGAGGAAGCCAAAATCCACACTATTGTTGTTTTCTAGTAGTATTATTCTGTCTTATTACTGCTGATTTCTCTCTTCAAGGCTACAATGAAGTTCTGTACATGAGAGGGTACATTTGATATATGACCAGCAACATCACCTCAAGTATGCTAGCCCCTCTCCCTTCAAGCTATAGGGTTTTTCCATATGATAGGTTCCAAGGTATTTTTTTAAACTATAGTTTTATTACTCTGGGTTGGGTATATAATTCAAATGATCTTTAGGGAAATTACTTATTTTTAATTATCAAATTCTTAGATTCATTACAGAGAAGACTGGTTAACTCATATCACAGAGGGTATATTTAGTAGTATATGCAGAATGCTATATTGACATCTAAACTATAATTCTGGATTTTAATTTTTTCCCCAATCTAATTGAAAATGCAACATGGTACATGATTTGGGAGATATCAGATGCCCCTTCCCCCAAGTTAGACCAATTTTGATGGACAGTTTGCCCAAATAAATTTTGAAGATGGGGGTGAGAAGCCTCATCACTTTGCAGTACTGTTCAAGAAGTGATGCTGCCATTGCATAGAACTAGAACGGTAACCTGGCTCTAAGTTACAGCTACAGGGAACCTGAATTCTGGGTTTTGTGGAGCGTACATTTCTAACTCCTGATTTCTGTTACTTTACCCAGGCTTCAGAGTGTCTTGGAACCTCAAATAAGTGAGTCTTAGGTTATTCAAAGCCAAGAATATTAAATGGTAGAATATTCCCTAGATAGCAGATGGTGGTTGCAAGTCTTAGAGTCTAGACCGCCATGTGTGAATCAGGCTACCCTGGGGTTGGTGTAACAGTGTGGGTGACAGCAGATTCTGAACAGCTCTTCGTGGAATAGTTCGGTGGCCCTCAAAGTTACCTGGCTTGCTTGTTTGAAGTAGATCCTGTACTTTCCCTCTAGTCTACAAAATAATAGTAATATAGGTGTCTTTTTATGAGAGTTCTTTACTGCTGAAATTCTGTTTTAGCAGCAGATAACAGGTGAAATCATAATGAATGCCATCATAAAGACTTACTACATAATAAAAATTATTCCCATGTACCAAATATATGATCCCTAGAAAAAGGACTTTGTGGCTCAAATTATCTTTCATTCTAACACTTTGTATGCTTTGCCATGGCCTATTGTTCAGCCCTTAGATACAGCATTTTCTATTTCCTCAATCTTATTTTCTCATCTTTTTTTTTAAAGATTTTATTTATTTTTAGAGAGAGGGGAAGGAAAGGAGAAAGAGAGAGAAGCATCAGTGTGTGGTTGCCTATCACCTGGCCCCCACTGGGGACCTGGCCGAGGCAACCCAGGCATGTTCCCTGACTGGGAATTGAACTGTCAACCCTTTGGTTCACAGCCCGCACTCAATCCATTTAGCTACACCAGCCAGGCCTATTTTCTCATCTTTTAAGAGGTTGGACTGATACAGCATCTCCTGAAGTCTGGACCATGGAACACTGCTTGGATGTTACCTGGAGCATAAAAATGTAGATTCCTGGCCCCGTGCACAGATGTTCCTATGCTGGAATAGGGCCTAAGAATCTGTTTTTAATAATGTCCCATGTGCTCAAAATACTTATGTTTCTCTCCCTCTCTCCTTCCCCCACTTCCCTCTAGAATATAGTTTTCATGCACACTAGAGTTTGATAACTAGCAGACTGAAAATAGGTCATTCTGAATAGAGGTAATCAGGGTGTAGACTGTTACATCATTTCTCCCCAAGTGCATTGGCATCTGTTTTAGTTATCCAGCTTCACAAAAGCTTTTTGAGGTTAATTGGGCATGGGCTATTGCCCCTATTTTACAGATGAGAAACTCAGTTGAGAGGGTCAAGAACTGACTTGCCAGAGTAGAGTTGGTGTCAACTTTGGGTCTACAATGCAAGTTTAATGATAGACTCTTTATTTTTGCCCCCTAGACTAGGCCTCAGGTGTCTTTGAGCAGAGTTACCCATCAGTTCTCATTATTGTAAGTCCTCAGGCCCAAGCAGATACTGTATACCAAAATACGCACCACAGAGTTAAGGAGAAGAACGTCTGAAGAATGGTGTGTGCTTACCATCTTTTTATTGGATTCTAGGCTCTTTTACGCTTGTGCGGCTTTAGCAGGAGGCCTGACATCGGTAGTTTTCTCTCTGAAGTGATACTGCCTAGGAATGTGATCTAGCAGTGTATCTTATTTCAAAATTTCTCAAAACAAAATTTGTGGAGGAGCCGGGGGACCTGACCCCTGGTTCCTGTTCTTACTCGTAACGGTGTCCTTGCTTCTACTTTGACCACTCTTCAGCTTGGTCTGGATTCTCTTAACTTGGCTTGCACCATAAGACATGGGTGTTCTCTGAGGGTTGTATCTTAAGAGGTCTTTTCTCTCAGCTCTCCCATTAATGCTTTTCTGATTCTCAGCTCTCCATATGTATCCTGTAAGTGTCCCCCTGAACTGTATGACGTTGTTTTAAAAATTATTCATTGGGCATCTCCATGTGAAGGCTTCCCCGCACAAAAACAGTCCTTCATATAGTCTGTGCTAGAATCCAAGAGTGAGTTCTCCTCCACCTCATATCCTTGATGGAGTGATCTCCAAGTTTAATGGATTTGCACCACTCCCTCCCCCCATATTTTTTAGTGTTGCTTAAGACTGGTTCTTAATCTCAGAGTTAGTTTTTACAAGAGATTCCTGATCTTCATATTTTGTCACTTTTATTTCACCCTATTACCAGATGTCTTTTAAAAGGTAAAATCTTGGAATAAAGTCCAACAACGCTTTCAGTATGACATGGAAAGCCCCTCACTGGTTCTCTCCAACTTATCCTTTATTTGCATCAATTTTCTCTTTTCCTAATTTAAATGTTTTTATACTCACCCGTTTAACTTTCTCAAGTGCTTTTTCTACCTGTGTGATGTTACCTCAGTATTCTTTCCTAAGTCCTTACCTTCTCCTCCTCACCCTTTGGGCTTTCATATCTCCATGCTATGTAGCACTTTTTTCCCAGCTGCTTAGTCTATTCAGCTTACATTCTTGTGCCCTGCTCCCGCTCCTTCAAATAAAATAAACTGTATTAGCCACTTTTCCCCACAGAACTTTTATTCATTTGTTAAAGCATTTGTTGAGTATTATAGTTGCAACCTTCCACTTATTCAGGGCCACTGCCTCCAGGGCAGAAATTGTTCAGTCCCCCTTTAATAGACCCTTATAGTGTGTGGTGCCTGGCACATTGTAGGAGGTTGGAAAATACAGTTGAATGAATGATAAGTCCTGTGAGATTTTTTTAATAATTAGAGATGACTACAGAGATAAGTGCTCTGGACATTATCTCCATACCTTGGGGAAGGTCAAAAACCTTCACAAGCAGATTGTTAGCTATTTTATTGAGTGGTGACTTAAAAACCTTTACTTACAGCTTTTTCCAACTAACAGTGGAAGAGCTTCCTTTATCCAAATGAAAATTACTTCCTTCCAGCATAGACACATTCTGTTTTGTTCCCACTAGAGAACAGCTGGTAAGTCTCAGGCCAGGGCCCTTTTTCCTCTAATGTTCCTCTGTGCCACTTTTTCCATAGCACAGTATGTGAGCCAGCAGGACCTGTCAGTAGGGCTGGGTGGTGGCTGGGGTTTGGGATGCAAAAAAGTATTTATGCCTTCTGGGAAGTGGAGTGATTGGTAAGTACCTGGAATTTCTCGGTTTATAAATGAACGAATAGCAGTCAACAGATCATGAAAAGAGAGGGAGAAAATGGATAATGAAAGGGTTTGGAAATGATTTTTAAACACATGTGAAAGCAGTCTTTAAGGGTGTTTTTGTAAGGACACTTGTGGACTGGGCTATAGTGTAATCAGGAACTCCTGATTTCAGGAACAGCTGAAAGACTTGAAACCTCTTTCCGACTCCGAAAACATGTTCTGCTCTCTATATGTGCTGCTGCTTCTACTCCTCACCTACCTTATAACTTCAGGGGTACAGCATGGCTTTCTTTGCCTCGTGCCTGCCCTTCTAGTTTGTCTTCTGATTCTTTACTCCATTTCTCTGTCTCTGTCTTTCATTGAGATATAATTAACATAACAAGATTTATCCTTTCAAACTTCATGATTCGGTGAGTTTTACTATATCCACAACTGTCACCACTAATTGCAGAATATTGTCTTTCTTTTTTAAGAAAATTTTAAGAAATGATTTGAGAGAAAAATAACCCCACATTGATTTGTTACTCCACTAAATCGTGCATTCATTGGTTGCTTCTCTGTACCCTGACCAGATATCGAACCCACAGTATTGGTGTATCACTGGTGACGCTCTAACCAACTGAGTTACCTGGCCAGGGCCCACAACATTTTTGTCACCCTAAAAAAGAAAACCTGTACCCATTAGCAGTCATTTCTCCCTTCTCTCCTACCTCCAATTCCCATTCCCTGGGCAACCACTTAATCTACTTTTCTGTCTCTGTAGTTTGGCCTATTCTGGATATTTCATGTAAATGGAATCACAATATGTAGCTTTTTGTGATTAGCTTCTTTCATTCAGCATGTTTTAAACTTCATCTATATTGTAGCAAGACTCCTGTTATCTCTTGCCACTTGTCCTTTTATCTTGTCAACTTAACTCACACTATCTCTAGTCGAACCATTTCCATTTCTGACTTCACCACTGTTTCTGTTCACCAATTCTAGATTCTTTAGAGCATTGCTGTGCAATAGAGCTTCCTGTTGATTAAAAATGTCCTCTCTGCTGTCCTGTGCAGTAGCCATTAGTCACATGTGGCTAGTGGCTGTTGTCTTGCTCAGTGCATCTGTAGAGGAACTTGGTCAGGCCTATCTTTCTGTTTCAAGCATAGTCGCCATGGTCTTAGGTTTCTGGCCAGCCAATGGATCAGATTAGGGGATGCCCCCCCCCCCCCCGCCCGCGTCTAGTCAGCTGGGGGATGGGAAAGCAGTGAGATTGAACATCAACTGTTCCCTGATAGGAGAAAGAGAAGAGAGTTTATCTTTAGAAATTTTGATGTATGCTTTGAAAATAAAGCTCTTTGTTTTCCCTTTCCTGTTTCTCTTCCAAGTTGGTTCTCTGTTCTGTTTTCCTATAGCATGTTCCATGAAGAATCGGGTAGTCAAGGCAGCCTCTGGTCCCGATTTCTCAGTTTTTCATTTTTAATGATTTGCCAGTTGCTGCCATTATTGCTTCTGCTGTCAGAAGAAGAACGTGGAAAGAGGTGGGTTAGTGCCATGCCTCTTTCCTAAAACACTTGCTGCCTTCCTACTCCCTTCTTCCCTCACCGCTGCAGACCATGCTTTTCCTTTCATTCATCTTATTCCCGGTTCAATACCTTCACATAAGGTAAGAATTTTATAGACTTGCCTTTTGGAAATCACAGGTACGCTATAGACAGTTCTTCAAGGGGCCGCTGAATTCATTGGCTCTTGTGTAGGTGTATTAAATGCACCCAACTCCAGCCCTGGCTGGTGTGGCTCTGTGGATTGAGTACTGGCCTGCACACCGAAAGTCACAGGTTCAATTCCCAGTTGGGGCACATGCCTGAGTTGTGGGCTGATGTTTCTCCCCTCCCTTCTTTCTTCCACTCTCTCTAAAAATAAATAAAAATATTTTAAATATACCTAACACCACATCACTGATCCTGAGGAGCCCCCTATCAGTGGAAGGTAAGGCACATATCCGAGAATGGATTTAGTGACATGTAGAGTAAATGCCATACCTGAGCCATGTGGGGGTCCTTGGCATGTCACACTAGGTTTCTCATCCCAGGTGACTTACATGCATATGCAGTGGTTCCTTTTAACTAAGGACAATATGCACACTGGAAGGTTGTAGAAGCTTGAGGGTGAAGGAGCATTCATTGTTGCTCATCTCTTTAGACACAATAACCTGAAGTTTGTGGCTGCTTGTTCATATACATAGGTATACATGGTTGCTTCTCCCTTTTTTGTGTTATCTCTAGCTGATGTTGTTACTTTTATTTCTAACTCTGTCTTCATGTGCTCCAGTGAAATGTTTTTCTTATTCACTGATGTACATAACATCTAACACAGTACCTGGCCTGTGTAAGGAAGTGCCCAGCATTTACTGGAGGAAGGAACAAGCCAGTGCATAATTACAGTGGCATGGTACCCACAGTGTCTTGAGCCTGGCCTGTTGATTTGCCGTGCTGTAGAAGTGCTCCTCAAACCGATGGAGGACTGTGTCCTGTCTCCCTCCTTCCAACTTGTAAAATACCGTAGAAACAGTTGAGTAGAAAATAAAGTGTACATTTGCATTTTGTGTCTTTTTATTATTAGATTGAACATTTACAAAATTACCTGGTCTAATTGCTATAAAAGTTCCTAAAGAGTTAAGTTTGAAGATTGCCTCTGGTCCTTGGGCACTTTGGGCAGTAGTGCTCTTGGGGATTCTTCTAATGAACTGGTGTGGGGGTGTTGGTCGTGGAGTAGGTGGAAGGAAGGCACGGAGAAGGATTTAGAGAGTAGAGAGAGAAAGAAGGGTGTTTGTCTCTGATGTTGAGTCTCCAGTGAACTTTTGGGTAAACCACCATCCACATGTGTTGCCTGTGTTTACAGTGATGTAGAAAGTTTAGGAACAGCAGACAAATGCAGGCAGAAGGGAGGAGCTGAAAGCAGTTGCCTGTGATATGTAATGCAAGTTGATGAAACCGTAACTCTTCCCGAAAACAGCTGTCAGCTTCTTATCATCAAAACATATTCTGAGCCCATTGGGAATTTATGTTAACTCTCCCTAGAATAGGAATATAGTTAAAGACTGGCAACATTTTAAATACTTTATTTATTTTTTAGAGGGGGAGGGAGGGAGAAAGAGAGGAAGAAAAATATCGATCGGTTGCCAAGCCCCCAACTGGGGACTTGGCCCACAACCCAGGAGTGTGCCCTGACTGGGAATCGAACCTACAACCTCTGGGTTCACAGGCCAGTGCTCAGTCTACTGAGCCATACCAGCCAGGGTAAGCTTAGCAACATTTTAATAAAATATTAAACTTGGTAATTAAAGTTGTTGGGAGCAGGTTATATAGGGAGTAACACTCATTGTTTCACTGGTCATAGTGCATTTTAAATTTTATTTCATTTTTTAAAATTAAGTTTATTGGGGTGACAATGGTCCAGATTGTATAGGTTTCTAGTGAAGATTTCTGTGGTACACGATCTTTATATTGCATTGTGTGCCCACCACCCAGAGTCCCATCATATTCTGTCACCATGTATTTGGCTTCTTTTACCCTTTATGACAAGTAGGTTAATCCTGTGACAATCAAGTAATCATAAGAGATGAGAAAGGCTCTTTAATTTGTGCTATTTATCCTTCTTCATGCACAGCATTCATTTTTATCAGTTAGTTGCTTAATAGGGGAATACTTGAGAATGAGAACAAGAAATTTCTCCCATCCCATCCCACATTGAGTGCTTACATTGAACCAGGTGTGAGTACAAGAATGAACAGGAAATAAAACAGTTTCTGCATTCAAGGAGCTCTAGACTAAAGCTAGAGTATAGGAAACCTTTACAGGCATACTGACACAGAGTTGGTCTGTATTAACAGCTTTTGATAATAAGTTAATGCCAGGTTAATGAGAATAGTCATTGTGGGTGTTCAGTTATAAGAGATTTAGGAATTAAAAGACAGAGGTTGAGCTTCTTTCCTAGATTCATCATTCTCAAGGATCTTCAAATACTATTAAAAAGATAACAGTGGTGTAAAAAGTGTTGTTTTTCCTTTAGCGAAAACTACCGTTTTATTTAGGATTGAATATTAAAATATGGCAAATCTGAATATGATATGATTCTGGGTGAAGCAGCAAACACTAGTAGAAAAGTTAATTATGCTGACTCTTTGGAATTTAAGTTGTTACCAGTATATGGTAAGATCTTGAAACACTGTAGAGAAGGCCTCTGGTCTGTTTTGGATGGTAGAAGTACTTGCAGTACAAGAATCCCCCTGGGTTCTCGGCAGTTGCAGTGGTAGCAGTGAAGGTATTCAAGTATGAGCATTACAAGTTTGGTGTGATAGGATTGGAGGAATTTGTGTTGTAATAGTTGCAGTTGGTAAGGTAATTAACTGGTAAAGTTAGAAAAGTAGCATTAAATTGGATAACAGAAACAATAAAAACAGAATGGTGACATCATTGCTCATGTTTATATAATATTTTGTAGAGTTGAAGAGGCAAAGTTTTGTTTTGGTCTAGGGCCTAACTCAAAGAACACCAGGATTAGCACGTGAGACAGCCATGTTCAAAGACCAACATTCTAGTCCTTAGCTTAGGCCTTGGAAATCAAGTGCTTCTGTTCTAATGCTACTGAAAGAGAACTTTTGGCCTATCATTGTATTCATTGAGAGTCCTGAATCTTTCCATAATCAGTAGTCTTTTGTGATTTTTATGTGTGTTTAAAATTATTAAACTTTGCTTTAGGAACTTTGCTTCTTTAAGCTCTGAGAATTTTCATGCTAGATAAGGAATAAGCGATACTCAGTTTCTTAATTAAACCCCAGGATGTTCTAATCAGAATGGTGACTTTAGTTGGGGATCTAATTCTAATGTAGGGGTGGGGTGGCCATGGTGAGAGAGGACAAGGGAATTCTGATAAATTTAGTGAAAGTAAAGGAAGTAGAATCTTTTCCCCTTACTTTCTCAGAGAGTAGTTGAGATCTTTAAAGCAAAGAAAACTCCCTCTGGAAAGCAGCATAAATACATAATATTAGTTTCATTTTATCTACTGCAGCTCAAAGAAAATGAACGGCACCCTGGACCACCCAGACCAACCGGATCTTGATGCTATTAAGATGTTTGTGGGCCAGGTCCCGAGGACCTGGTCCGAGAAGGACTTGAGGGAACTCTTTGAACAGTATGGTGCTGTCTATGAAATCAACGTCCTAAGGGATAGGAGCCAAAACCCTCCTCAGAGCAAAGGTGAGGGCTTGGGTTTTATGTGTGATTTTTGTCATGTGCATGCTCTTTCATTGCCAGACTGTTCCTCTGATCATATGGGGGGGGGGTCTTATTTTATAGTAGTTTTATATTCCAGTTCATACATGTTTTGTGGCTTAAAAATAAGGTGACTTCATGAGGATGATTTGTAAGTTGCATCTTGGGTTGTCCTTTGTGAGAGTGCTAAATTCAACAGATAGACTCATGTGAGTATCTCATTTGATCTTAGAAATGAATAGACTGACAAAAATTAAGTTTAAACCAACCACACAAGGTTTTCCTTAGTTGGCTAAGGTAAGCTGAAAGAAAAAGATTGTCATGTAGCCATGCATTTCTGTTAAGAATATATAGAGGCCTTGCAGCATGACTTAGCAAGTAGGAGGGAGGGGCTTGTTTGTAGATGACCTGTTTGCTATGGCCTATAAAATGAACAGGAGAAGAAAGGCTGAGCTGCTGCCAGAAATACCCAGCAGAGTGGAAGTTTCATAGGATTGATGGTAGATGAGGCATGAGCTTTGTCCCAACACACACAGACATACTCTTATTTTTCCAAGGGACAGATTCAGAGTAATTTTCTGGGAAAGCTGTTCTACAGTGCAAATGTGAACAAGTATGATTGTCATGTTTGAAACTAGTTTTAATAACAGGATCTAGAACCATAAATTATTTTCTCTTTTTGGCATAGTTAACCAAAAAAAATTAAGTATTGTACTGTTTTTAAATGACTGGCAATATAATGTGCAACAATTTAAAATCTTAATTGCACAGTGATTTTGAAAGAACAATATGTCATATCTCATGGACTATGGACACAGGATTTACAAGATACACCTCCTCCCTCCCATCCCCAGCAAAGATACAAAAAACAAAACTACAGATCTCAGTCAGCACCATGTGCTGTTAGAAGCTTAATTATATTTGATGAGAACCAAGGGTCCAAAAAAAGATACTAAGAGGATCTTGCTCTTAAGTCATTTTATAATTTAATAAGTGATAATTATTTTGAGGTATATGGTAAAATTGGCTACAAAGTAAGGAGTGGTTTGTTCTAAAAGAAAAGAGTTTCTGGTAGATAAAGAGCCACAAGAGTTCAAGGTCCCTGTCTGTCTTGTTTTTAGCTGAGTGCTCTTGCCTAGCACACTGTCCCATGCGCAGATGGCTTGATACTGTGAGCTTTGTAAGAGAAGTCATCTTTCCCAAAGAAGTTACAGGAACAGCTAAAGGAGAATTTTAATAGAACTAAGAGACCAGGCCCTGGCCAGGTAGCTCAGTTGGTTAGGGCATCGTCCTGTTAGACTAAGGTTGTAGGTTCTGTCCCTGGTCAGGGCACATACAAGAAGAAACCAATGTCTGCATAAATGAATGGAACAAGTCGATGTCTTTGCCCCTCCCTCCCTCCTTCCCTCCCTTTCCCCTGCCCCCTCCACTTTCTCTCAAAAATCAATAGCTAAAAATTAAAAATAAAGAACTAAGAGACTATAACAATGAAGTGCCTAGAAAATAATGGTGGTTTTTTTCTCTGCTAGGTTCTGTGTCTCTGTCTCTGCCATCTTTATCTCTCTCTCTCTGTTAATTTTAATAAACCCTGCCCTTTTTAAGTTCTGATGAAGGATAGGGCAAAAGTAAATTTACAGTTTATATGGAAAATAATACAGTAATAAATCATGATAGATATGTGTTTCTCATACTCATAGTTGTAAACTTTCTTGCTCCAGCCCTGTATGTCCATGCAGGACTGCCTGCTGTAGGAATTTCTGTTTTCAAAGGACCGGTTTGATTTTGTGAAATCTTGTTTATTGCAGGGTGCTGTTTTGTTACATTTTACACCCGCAAAGCTGCATTAGAAGCACAGAATGCTCTTCACAACATGAAGGTCCTCCCAGGGGTAAGAAAGCTCCTACTACTAAGTGGAGCTGGTGGTTTTGACACATGGAACATACTTATATGTATCAGGCACACACTGAAAACCATTTTGGGGGAAGGGTGACTGCCACAGGAGTGAATGTAAAGGGACCTTTCAGAGAAGATAGGCTGAAAGTAGTTCTCTCTCAGCCAGAAGAATTTTGACTACTTGATGCAGTGTTCTGTGCCGGTATTTTGTGGGGAAGTCGTGAGGTAGTCAGACGTAAGTTCAAGAGAACTCTTATGAGCTCTAGTTTTGGCATTCCTTTAAGAGTCCTCATACTTCTGAATGCCTTCAGTCTGTACAGGGGTAATACTCCTGTGTTTTTCTTTTTAGATGCACCATCCTATACAGATGAAACCCGCAGACAGTGAGAAGAACAATGGTAAGCAAGCACGTAGTCTTCCCCGCAACCAGGTTTCTTCCTGCCTTATTTGCTGTTCTCATGGCATCTGGATTGCATTGTGTGCTAAGTAATTTCTTTTGGGGGTAGAATTGACATGTAGCATTATATTAATTTTAGATGTACATCCTAATGTTTTGATATATATTGTGAAATGATCACAGTAAGGCTAGTTATAACTACATCCATCACTGTACATGGTTACCCCCCAAAAAAACCCACTTATGTTAAGAACTCTTAAGATCTACTCTCTTAATAGCTTTCAAATATGTAATACAGTAATAACTATAATTTCCACGCTGTACCTTACATCCCCATGACTTATTTTATAACTGGAAGTTTGTGCCTTTTGAGCCCCTTCACCCCTTCCGTCCACCTCTCACGCCCCATCTCCAACAGCCATCAGTGCATTTTCTGTGTGGCCTTGGCTTTCCGTTTCCTTTTAAGATTCCATGTATCAGAGAGATCCTGCTGTATTTGTCTTGCCCTGTTTGACATGTTACACTTAGCATAACGCCCCCAAGGTCCATCCATGTTGTTACACATGTTAAGCTGTCCTTAAAAAAAAAAAAGATTTTATTTATCTATTTTTAGAGAAAGGAGAAGAGAGGAAGAAAGAAACATCAGTGTGTGATTGCCCGTCTGTGTGTGAACACACACATTCTTTTGAGTTATTCATCAGTGCGCTCTTTGGTTGTTTTCATGTCTGTTGTAAATGCTGCAGTGGACACAGGTGTGCTGTATTTTTTTGAATTAGTATTTTCTTTTTCTTCAAGTAAATACCCAGAAGTGGAATTGATGGATCATGTGGTAGTTCTAGTTTTTATAGGAGCCTTCCTTATTGTTTTGTATAATGTTTGCACTAATTTATATTCCCACCTACAGTGCACGAGGGTTCTCTCTTCTCTACATTCTCACCAACATTTGTTATTTACTTGGCTTTTTGATAATAGCCATTCCAACAGGTGTGAGATGATTCCTCATTGTGGTTTTGATTTGCTTTTTCCTGATGTTATATATTTTTTTAATCATAACCCCTTATCAGGTATATGATTTGAAGATATTTTCTCACATTCATAGGTTGTCTTTTCAGTTTGGTGATGATTTTCTTTGCTATGCAAAAGTTTTTGGTTTAATATAGTTCCACTTGTTTGCTTTTACTATTGTTTCCTTTGTTTTTGGAGTCATATCCAAAAAGTCATCACCAAAACTGATGTCAAGGAGTTTACCACCTAAGGTTTTCTTCTAGGAGTTTTATGGTTCTGGGTCTCACATTCATATCTAATCCATTTCGGTTAATTTTTTGTGTATTATATAATACAGTGGTTCAGTGCTCTAAGTAATACCATCTAAATCGTCTATTTTTTTTTCCTTTAAAGTAAGTGTGATAAATAACCGAGGTAAATAGAGTGGATAGGGAAACATTACAAGGACATTTCAGACGAACTGGATTTTAAAAAATTGATTATGTTATTATAGTTGTCCCAGTTTCCCCCCTTTGCCCCTAACGCCCACTCAGCACCCCCTACTCTCTCAGACAGTTCCCACACCATTTTCATGTTCATGGGTTGTACGTAGGTTCTTTAGCTACTCCATTTCCTGTACTGTACTTTATATCCCATGGCTGTTCTGCAACTACCTATTTGTACTTCTTAATCTCCTCACCTCTTCACCTGTACTCAACTCCCTCCCCACTGGTCTGGGAACCATCAGAATGCTTTCCATACCCATGACTCTGTCTCTTCTTGTTTGCTTAGTTTGTTTTTTAGATTCAGTTGATAGATAAGTATTTATTGCTGTTTTATTGTTCATAGGTTTGATCTTCTTTTCTTAAATAAGTCTCTTTTAACATTTCATATAATAATGGTTTGGTGATGATGAACTTCTTTAGTTTTTTTTCTTGTCTGGGAAGCTCTTTATCTGCCCTTCAATTCTAAATGATACCTTTGCTGTGTGGAGCAATCTTGGATGTAGGTCCCTGCTTTTCATGACTTAGAGTGTTTCTTGCCAATCCCTTCTTGCCTGCTAAGTTTCTTTTGAGAAATCAGCTGACAATCTTATGGGAATTCCCCTGTAGGTAACTAACTTCTTTTCTCTTGCTGCTTTTAAGATTTTCTCTTTATCTTTAACCTTTGGCATTTTAATTATGTGTCTTGGGGTGGGCCTCTCTGCATCATCTTGTTTTGGGATTCTCTGTGCTTCTTGTACTTGAATATCTATTTCCTTCACCAAATTAGGGAAGTTTCTTTCATTATTTTTTCACACAGACTTCCAATTCCTTGTTCTTTCTCTTCTGGCACTTCTATGATGCAAATGCTGGAACGCTTGAAGTTATTCCAGAGGCTGCTTACACTGTCTTCAGTCTTTTGGATTTGTTTGTTTCTTTTTGATTTGTGGTTTTTTGCTTCCTTCAGTTCCAAATCATTGATTTAATTCTTGACTTCATCCATTCTACTATTGTTTCCCTGTAAATTGTTCTTTATTTCAATTAATGTATCCTTTGTTTCTGACTGGGTCTTTTTTATGCTGTTGAGGTCCTCATTAAGTTCCTTGAGCATCCTTATAACCAGTGTTTTGAACTTTGCATCTGATACATTGCTTATCTCCATTTCATTTAGCTCTTTTTCTGGAGTTTTGATCTGTTCTTTCATTTGGGCCAGGTTTCTTTGTCTCCTCATTTTGACAGCCTCCCTCTATTTGTTTCTATGTATTAGGTAGAGCTGCTTTGACTCCGTGTGTTGGTAGTGTGGGCTGATGTAGTAGGTGTCCTGTAGGGTCCTGTGGCACAGCCTCCCCTATCACCCAAGCTGGGTACTTGAGGTGCGCGCTCAAGGTGGGCTGAATACACCCTCCTTTTGTACTTGAGCCTTGATCGTTGTTGGCAGATCAATGGGAGAAATTTACTAAGGTCAGTCAGTTACAGGAATTGTCTATGACCACTGACCACCAACCACTCCCGTCCTTGGAGGATCACCTGTACAGGGGCAGGGTGGTGGTGCTCCGACAGGGTCTGTAGCTGTCCACTGGGTGTGCAGGCTATGGTGTTTCATGGGTGGTGCAGACCAAGGTCAGCCCGCACTGTGTTTTGCCCCAGGGCCACCCTGCCTGAGCTGTAAAGCATTCTGGGATCGTTGTTACTTGTGCTGGGCTTGGAGATTTCCAGGCAAAGGCAAGTTGTGAATCTAGGCTGTTTGCTGCTAGTTGCGGGCCTGGGACCTCTTAGCAAGAGGTGTGGGAGTTGGGGGCTCACTGAGGCCAGCTGTTGCTTGTTTGAAAGGATTTAAAAAGTTGTGAAGCTTGAGCGAAGGCCAGACATTCATATGGAAAAGCAGCTTGGTGGGCTGGTAAGTTGGGTGGGGCAGAGTCTTTGGAGATCACCCAGGTGGGTCAAACAGTGTTAGCCAGGTTGATGGCTAGATATGGCACCTGCCTGCCTGCTCTGTGGCTGTGTGGGGTGAGAGTTCAGAAAAGGGACAGTGTCCTCTGCCTGCCTTTCTGTCTGAGAAAAAGCTGTCCCCCAGCTCTCACCTTTGTTGCTAGATACTTCAGTTTCTCCTGTATCCCAATGGTGCCTTTCAAATTGCTACCCTGGTGCTGGAGCCCAGAGGGAATGAGTCTGAATAAGTCTTGTGTGTAGGTTCTTTAAGAGGAACTGCTTGGGGCTCCAGAAGTTTCTTCTATCAGTCCCCACTGATTTTTGCAGCTAGAAGGTAGGGGGGCTTATTTTCCTAGCATTGGAACCCTGGGCTAGGGGGCCTGCTATTGGACTGGGACTCCTCACTCTGAAGATATCCCTCCCGAATTTTTATCCATCACTTGTGGATGCGCAACCAGCCCGTTCCACATCTCCACCCCTCCTACCAGCCTAGGTGGATGTGGTTTCTTTAGTTCCATGGTTGTCAGACTTACATTCACCTCATTCTGACAGTTCTGAGTGATGGTTTGAAATTTTGGTTGTAATTTTGATGTGTTTGTGTGAGGAGGCTGCCCTCTTTACTGTGCTGCCATCTTGACTGGGTGTTAGAATGTTCTGATCAGTTTAACTTCTTAGGGACTGAAGTGAAGTGAGGAATGAGGAAGGAAGGAAGGAGACCCTTAGTCCTCAAGAGGACATTTAGAAAAGGAAAGTGGATAGTTGGACTTTCTGAAAGGTGTGTCCTGTTTCTCTAGTCATATCTATGAAATGTGAAAACTCATTCTTTAAATAGTAGTAGTTTTGTTAGTAAGAGTAGATATTACCAAGTGCTGGGTAGGAATCTGAGCACTATGCATTTAATTAATAATAACTACAGCTACCCTTGAGGTAACTCTCATAAGATCACAAAGCTACTGTATTTTATCTAAGTGCTTTCAGTGATAACTTTAAGATACCATTGTTTGGAGGAACAAAGTATATCTTAGAATCTGAAAATGGTATCAAGGCACCAGAGCCAGGGTTCAAACCCAGGTGGTCCTGACTCCTGACTCTCTGGGCTACTCGGTCTCATATAATAACGTTCAAACCTTCTGTGTTTTACTCTCTCAGCAGTGGAAGACAGGAAACTGTTTATCGGTATGATTTCTAAGAAGTGCACTGAAAATGACATCCGAGTCATGTTCTCTTCATTCGGACAGATTGAAGAATGCCGGATATTGAGGGGACCTGATGGATTGAGCCGAGGTGGGTACATTTTTAAACTTTTAAAGATGCTCCTCTTGAATTTGGATTTTCTGTTGAATTGGACCAGTGGAAAACAGCAATCTCCAGCCAGTGTGGCTGTGTCATGATGGAGAAGTTGGGTGTGGTGTTACATGTCTAGGTCCTGTCACAACTCCTACAGTTTTATCCCTTTTGTATTCTCCCATCATCCTTAAGGAGTTTATATTCTCTCCTTCAGTGTCATGTGTTAAAATTCTGTTTTTATGCTTAGAGTTGTTCTTGATGTCAAAATGGGAACATTTTATTCCCAAGAGGAATTGAAGACTATGAATCCTCCTTTATCCCTCCAGCACTTTGTTTCCTGTCTATGCTTTTTTGGTTTTTAGCACTTACCACACTGGTGTGACGTGGCTCTCTCTTCCACTAGAACATGAACTCCTGAAGGCAGAAACCATGTCTGTATTGCTAGTATGGCACTTGACACATAGTTAAGTGCTTAGTTAACGTCTATAAATAAACAAGGAAATGAATGAATGAGTTATTGATCCTTCTTTTATCAGGTTGTGCATTTGTGACTTTTACCACAAGAGCCATGGCACAGACGGCTATCAAGGCAATGCACCAAGCACAGACCATGGAGGTAGGGAAGAGCTGAATGCAAAGGGGAAGGCAGTTCCTTAGCCTGAGGGTGCCAAGACATTTGGCCTGCAAAGCCCAGCAGCAGTGTAACATCTGATTGTTCTAAAAAGTTAAGCAGGCCAAACATAAATTAACATTAAAATTAACATATTGGAACTAGTTGCCCTTTTAAATTATCTTTTGCCATTTATGTGTATCAAGAAGAGAATCATTTGGCAGTGAATAGAATTAGAATGGAGACTGTGTGTCATTAGAAATGAGGATTTTTCCTACACCCAAAGAAGAATTTGACCCTTTGGTTTTGGTCTTTTCATAGGGTTGCTCATCCCCCATGGTGGTAAAATTTGCTGATACACAGAAGGACAAAGAACAGAAGAGAATGGCCCAGCAGCTCCAGCAGCAGATGCAGCAAATCAGCGCAGCATCTGTGTGGGGAAACCTTGCTGGTCTCAATACTCTTGGACCCCAGTATTTAGCAGTGAGTCTTTGTGGTTTGCTTTTTGCAGACTGTGCAAGCTCCCAGCTGTTTCTTCTTCTGCTTTCCCCAGCTAACAGACACAGTGGCATTTACAACTTTTAGCACACTGAAATTTTATGTAAATATTCAGGCAATGCAATATTCTTTGAGTCATGTTATTTTCTCTCTGTCTCTCTGGTAACACATCTTTGGTTATATCTTGAGTTAGAGTGAAATCGTAATTTCCTAATAAAAAGACTTAGAAACATCTCATGTCCCTGCCCCCAAGAAAAAAAAAATTCCTGAGAGAGTCAACTACCAAATATTTTTCTCCATGTCTCTTTCTACCAGGCGTAGAGGATGTTATTAAAGACCTTACTAAGTCTCCCTGAAGAATATGATAAATGTTTCTCTCTGCTAATCGAGAGATCAAACATGGACATTATTAAATGAATTTTACAGATGTATATTTGAATTCACTAAATAGTAAATAGGTTTTCTTTTAATTTGATCTCTCTCTTGTTGAACTTAAGTCATATAGTCCAAAGGAGGGACAAGCTGCTATTTATCATTAAGTTTTACTAGGTCTGCAGTATTAACAGATTATTACTGCTTAAACCTATAAAAGGAATTACAAATGGGACAACATAATTAAAACTCTGTCATCTGTGAATCAGAAAGAAAAGATCATCTGTAAAGGTACCAATGAAAGAAAATAAATGGTGATACCACTAGATTTATGTGGATAGTCCAAAAATATATAATCAGAATAATTAGAGTCATCCACTCCTCATCCTTTCAAAGATTATTCTATATAGAAATAAGAAAGGCAATGATTTCTGTCCTCTAGTACCGAATTCTGGCTCATTTGATGCTCCCCTGGTCTCCATATTTCTAATGTGTTAGAAATCCTGCTTCATTCTAGCTAGTATTTCTCTGAAGTCAAAAAGTATAGACAGTAGTTCTATTTAAACAGATCAGATTGTTTCTTAGTACTAGAACATTGCTTAAAAGTTTTAAAAATTCAGAGATCTCTTCTGCCCAAATGATAATGCTTTGAAAATGATCTCCATGATGTACGTTTACTTTTCTTGGAGAGTTTAGAGCTTCTTTTCAGGGAGCACTCTCTTTCTTGTCATTGCCAACAAGTACGTGATAGCATGTGGTGAGAGCTGTGTTTTCTTTAACTTAGATATGATCCCCTCCCTAAGAGCCATTCTTGTTTATGGAGGAAATGGAGGGGCCAAATACAGTATGCCCAGTCCCCTAGTTGGGACTGAACACATCGCCTAAGGTATTTAAGAAAACAAAAAATGAAGACATGGATGCTAATGGGCTATGTAAAGTGACAGTGCATCATCATTAGTTATGAAGTTTTTTTCTGTGAATATGTGGATTGAACCTGATCTCTGTTGGACTAGAGCAGTGGTTTTTTAATCTTTGTGGGGTGGTGGACTTCTTTGAGAACCTGGTAAAAATTGCATGTACTTTTTTCTTTTTCATTCTGTTTCTGGAAGTTTGTGGACCAAAGGGATTCATGACAGGGAAACCAAGTCAGATGTTTATGGTAATAGACATCAGGTTGAATAAAGAATCTAGAAACAAGAATACTAGTTGTCCATAAAGAACACTGATTACATTAGAAAGGAGCCAAGGTTTTCAGCAAGTTGGTTAGATCAAGATTGTGGTTTTCTGAGGTACAGAATAAGGTCAAGGCCACGGAGATCCATAAGCTCATGGAAAGGTCCTTTTGCTTCATTTGTTATGGGATATCCATTGAAAGAGAATGTACACTGAACTGATGTGGACTGGCCTAGCAGTCATTTGGTCATCTGCAAGAGTGAAGACCAGTTTGGAGGGGAGGAGATAAATGGGCTCCATGGATCTGTAGCATGGGAGAGAGTGATCTAGTCGTGGGTCTGTTTTGTCTGGTAAATAATGACTCCAAGAAATACCCTGAAACAGTTAGATTTGATATTTAAAATAGTTGTTCGAAATAGAAATTGGGTATCCAGATGGAAACAGTCTGCAAAATAAGATGTATGGACTTAACTAGAGAACTTGAGAGAGAGGAAATAGAAATGGCAGTCATCCATACCAGACACATATCGCAGTTGACTGTGTAGCTACTTGAGCTGAGCTTAGTTCCCTGCTCTACTTCTGTCCTCTGCTGTGCTGTGTTCTCTTGCCCAGGCACTTGAGCTTGGCTCAGTACTCAGTGAACATTACTATCTTCTGGGCCAGGGCTTTAGCTGTGTTGTATTGTCCTGTGCTGTCATAAGTCTTGTTTCTGTTGTGTTGGCTTGGGTTCTTGTCTTCAGCCTTCTTCTCTCTGGGGGCCTCTGCACTCTCGCTTTGCTGTGCTGTAGAGTTATCCCAGATGCAGAACCAGCCCTCACTCTCACTCTTGTTCTGTTTTTTGGTGTAATGTCTAGCTTTATTTGCAGCTCCTTCAGCAGACTGCCTCCTCTGGGAACCTCAACACCCTGAGCAGCCTCCACCCAATGGGAGGTAAGTGTTTCACTGCTGCGGAGGAGCAGCAGCAGCCAGGCCAACAGATCCAGCTAACAACAGTCTGAGAGTTTTGCACTGTTGTGCAGAAAAAAATTTTTTCACTACATTTTTTCACTGACATGAGATGAACATTCCAGGACTCAACTGCTTTGTCTCTAGAAGGTGACTCTATTAGTCATTGATGCCTGCTTGTTCTGGGATTGTCTTCTGCTCCCCATCCCTCTAAATGTCTGTTGAGGAAGAAGATAGAAAAGATCTGTTAGCACCTGTAGACTCTCTGAGGCCATTTTGATCAGAAGGAAATCGCTGCAGCTCTTTATTTACACAATAAAGAGACTTTTCCAGTGACTCTGAAGAAAAGCCCAAGAAGGTTTCCATGCAAATGGTACCCTGAAGTTGCTAGAATCCAGGCAGTTAGTTTACCTCTGTGTCTTCTCTATGTTATGCCATAGGTGAATTACCTTTTGTTGCTATTACCATGCATGGAAAACTTAATTGACACATACTTGAGTTTATAACAAAACGGGGTTCCACAGACAAACCTAGGCAAGATCTATCAGAATAAGTTAGGGGGGGATGGGGAGTGTCAGACCTGCCTGTCTGCCCCTTTGGCAGTGGAATAAAACTAGGCAAGTGCAGTTGAGAAAGGGGTGGTCTGGGGTGAGCTACATTTTGCCATTTGAGAAATTTTAATAGTTGTTTGTCCCAGGGACTGAGGAAGTTGCCAGATTGTGAATCTGTGTTATAGTTTTTTATTCTCACGAACTCTTCCCCCCATCCCTCTGCCCCTCTTCTGATGACTAATGTGCTATTCAGGTGGTGGTTTTTCTTTATTTCTCCTCTTGCCATGCTCACATGTATTCTCTCTTGTCGTTCCTCCTCTTTTGGGTCTGCTACGTTTTCTGCTTATCTCCATTTCAAAGGACACATTCCTGTGAAGTCTGAGTGAGGGGCTCAGATGCAGTCCCATTCTGTGCCACAGATTTTGGCTTTGTCATCCTCAGGCTGCATGGTAGACCACAGACGTCCCTCTCCTTCCCCATTTCCTAATTGCCTGTCTCTTTATTAATGCTCACTTGGGGTGGCGTGCAGTTGGATTAGATACTTCTTCCGAAGAAAGTATGTCAAGTTTCTTGATGAGTTGAGTGATATCTGAATCTTTTTGGAGCCCTATAGGGTTGCTTATAAGGCTTATCTAGAACATTTCCTCTCGGGAGCTAGCCTTCTCCCAATGTGTGCTGTCATTGCTGGAGTGGATGGAAGGCACCCGTATCTGCTCACTGATCCCTTGCTTTGGATGTTGCAGGGCTGAATGCAATGCAGTTACAGAATTTGGCTGCCCTGGCTGCTGCAGCTAGTGCTGCTCAGAACACACCAAGTGGTACCAATGCTCTCACTACATCCAGCAGTCCCCTCAGCGTACTCACCAGTTCAGGTAAGCGTGGGATGGGCCATAGGGCCCCTGTGTGCCTTGGGCAGAATCCCAAGATTGAGGGGTATGTCATTCTGGAGAGTTAGGTAACACCCATTTCCAAAGGAGACAGATCATGAGCAACAGATTTTTATGTGCCATCTTCTGACTTAAAAATCTCACAATTTTTAATTTCTTATAACCATCATTTGACTTGATGTTCAGCAGGAACAGTTATCAAAATTAGTAGTTGAAAACCTTCTTACTAAGAGAATATTTAAGTAGTATCACTCTTGGGCTTTGGTTCTTATTGACATGAGAAGGCAAGTGTTGGCTTGAGTTTAACTCGGGGATTTCTGGTAGCAGGGTCCTCACCGAGCTCCAGCAGCAGCAGCTCTGTCAACCCCATCGCCTCCCTTGGAGCCTTGCAGACATTAGCTGGAGCCACGGCAGGCCTCAACGTCAGCTCTCTGGCAGGTGAGAGGCAGCCCCTGGATGTCATTCGGCCTTTCTTTATATAGGTGGCACACTATAAACAACTCTGGTAAGGACACTGTTAGAATGATGGAGTGGCCCAGTGAACTTAACAATAATCATGTGATTTTGAGTCAGACCTGAGTTAAATACCACCTCTGTCCCTTCACTGGCCATAACTTTTTGACCACCTTTCCAAGGTCATCTTCTTATCTATGAGGTGGGAATAGAATACTTTGAGGGTTATTAAGTTAAATGAGAACACAGGTCATATACTGAGCACATTGCTCAGTGTTCAAAAGAATTTTGTACAATGTTCAAAGAGAAAATGGGGCAAATCATGTGTGAGTGGTATCCCTTCTTGCATGGATGAAAAGAAGGTAATACCTCCATTAGCAACAAGGCTCGGTGAGTGTCCTAAAGTCTGACCACTCAGATGGCTATTTCTCGTCAGGGTGATAATAAGAGCAAGATAAAAGGGAGGGCTTTGTAGTTTTGTTTTTTTTTTTTCTTCTTATCAATTGAGTGTTTTCAATCCTATTAATCCTGTTCTCTCCCCCACCCAAGGGATGGCTGCTTTAAATGGTGGTCTGGGCAGCAGTGGCCTTTCCAATGGCACTGGGAGCACCATGGAGGCCCTCACGCAGGCCTACTCGGGGATCCAGCAGTACGCCGCGGCGGCACTGCCCACTCTATACAACCAGAACCTGTTGACACAGCAGAGCATCGGTGCTGCTGGCAGCCAGAAGGAAGGTGAGTAGTACAAAGCGAGCCTAGAGTTGGGGACAGGCATGGTTTCTCTGTCTGCAGAACTGAAAGGCAGTGCAAAGGCCGAGAGAACCATTCAGGTGGTCAGACCACCACTTTTCTTGGATGGTGTCAAAAGATAGACTGAGAAACTCTTTAAGTGTGATCCGCTTTTGTTTTCTGGATGTGGCTCAGATCAGAGATAACCTCTGAATGCCCTTCTGGAATGGGGCTGCCATTTTTAGGTGAAGAAATTATCTGTTTTTATTAGGAAGTCTTTTCTATGAGTTATAAATCTGTCAGAGGAGATCTTCAGTGTGGGTGTCCCTTTTAGATATATCTTGGCATTTTCCTCTTTTTCTGATCTATGCTTTTACTAATTGAGGACAGAATGAAGGCTGATGGGACAGAAAGAGCTGTGGCCTGTGGGTTGATGCAGAAGTATGTGTTTTGATATAAACGGCATTAAATTTAGGAGAGGCTATCTAGGCAGAAAGAGGCCTGAGGTAGTTTGTATGAATAGAAAGTCCTGCTGTACCTCTCTGCTTATATTTGACTGGGCTTTCTTTTATAACCAGGAGCTGGCAAGGTTTAAGTACTAATGTAGGGAAAACACAAGTGTCTTCTCTTGCCTTAGCAGCAAGGAGTCCTGGTTTAAATACAGTCTTACCTGCTCTGAATCAGGTGCTTTTGTGCTTTAGGATGTGGTAGTAGGAGAACTGGTGGCACTGTGGAGACAGACAATAAACTAGGAAAAGCATGAGGTGTGTTCCAGATGGTGCATGGAAACATGATGAACAAGAAAGGGGGGCAGGGAGTGCTGCAGACACGTCATTTTATAGCAGGTGGTTGAAGATGGTGTCTCTAAGTTGCCAGTTAGGCAGAGGAAGATGAGTAAGGGGGGACAGAGGAACAGCAAGTGCAAATGCCCTGAGGTAGCAGTGTTCCTCAGCATGTTTGATGGCATCGGGGAGGCCGGGGTGGCTGGAGAATGGCTGCACTGTGATTATAATGAAACTCTTCTTGGTTAGAAAATCGTTGAGTAGTTGGAGGAGGAAAACATATGCTATTTTTGAGCTCAGTGTTAATCATAGTTTAAAAGGTAATTTCTTTTCAGTGAGGTACAATTGACATAAAGTCACTTTTTTTGGAATATAACTCTGTGAGCTCTGATGGAGGCCTATAGTCATCTAAGTACCATCTCAAATACAGAACATTTCTGTCACCCCCAGAAATTTCCTCATGTCCCTTTGTAGTCATTTCCTTGCCCCCACTTTCTGCCTCTAGCAATTACCAATCCATTTGCTGTCCCTGTAATTTCTAGACATAATTTTGAAACCTGTTTTGCTTATAAGTTCTTTCTACCTCCTTTTCTGTTTTCCTACAAGTGTCTGGTCTCTGGTTTTATGCTGCACATGCAGGTTTCTCTACTTCATTGTGTAGCTATACCTTCCTCCACAGGGTCAGATTCTGCTGTCCCTCAGTGAGACATGGAGCATGGCCAAATGTGGGGGAAGGGATCTGTTTCAGTGATTGCCCTTCAGTTCCCTGTTTCGTAGTTGGAGATTCTTTTGGGGTGCTAACACTTGGAACTCCAGGGGGAAATGAGAGACGATGCAGGAGGATAAGTTTGTGTCACACTGATACCTTTTCAATCAATGGGTGTCTTGAAGGTCCAGAGGGAGCCAACCTGTTCATCTACCACCTGCCCCAGGAGTTTGGAGATCAGGACCTGCTGCAGATGTTTATGCCCTTTGGGAATGTCGTGTCTGCCAAGGTTTTTATAGACAAGCAGACAAACCTGAGCAAGTGTTTTGGTATGTTGGCTTCTCTCCTGGTGTGTGTGTTGGGTAGGGGGATGATTATTTTATCACAGAAAAAGAAAGGGAAGGGGCTGATAGCAGAAACTTGGGGTGGAGATGGAGTTGTTGTTTAACTCATCCTTGTGCAGATTTGCATAACCTCTTTCTGAGCCTCAGTTTTCTTTTAAGACTTTATTTATTTTTAGAGAGAGGGGAAGGGAGGGAGAAAGAGGGAGAGAAAGATCAGTGTGCAAGAGAAACATCAGTTGGTTGCCTCTCTCATGCCCCCAACTAGGAAACTGGCCCGCAGCCCAGGCCTGTGCCCTGACTGGGAATCAGAACTGGTGATCTTTTGGTTTGCAGGCTGGTGCTCAGTCCACTGAGCCGCTCCAGCCAGAGTTAGCCTCAGGTTTTTTCACTTCTGTAATGGGCACCGTGAGTTCTGCCCGCACTGTCTCTCCAGAGGGTAAGATGATGTGTGGAAAATGGCTTGGCCAGGATACTAAAAGTACCGCGTCAGTGTCAGATGATACAGTTAGGGATTTATTTTATTTGATAACAATATACAGATTTTCTTGTCACTGCTGAGGAAAATTGGGATTTGAAGCTAAGCTCATAAGGTATTTCTTGCATAAGGAGGACTGAGAATCTCCTTGCCTCGTTATGCCCCTCACCTAGGTTTCTGCTTGAACACACAGGTTTTGTAAGTTACGACAATCCTGTTTCGGCTCAAGCTGCCATCCAGTCCATGAACGGCTTTCAGATTGGCATGAAGCGGCTCAAAGTGCAGCTCAAACGTTCGAAGAATGACAGCAAGCCCTACTGAGCGTGCTCCCCTCAGACTGGAGTGAGAGGGTCTCTGGTAAGTTGGGGAGGAGCACCTTGGTGAGGCGAAGCCCTAGGCTGTGTGTTGGCAGCCCCGGACCCTGATCCCTGCCACTCTCGCAGGCACAGCTTGCCCTGAAGACGCGGCTACTGCCTTCTGTGGGAGTTTCGCTTCGTACAGAGGACGAGTTTGTGCTTTGGTTTCCAGTGTTTTACTTTGGAGTTTAGGTGCCATATTCTGAGTTTTTTCTTTATTTAAAGTTTGCTGTGTTTGTAACCAGTGTGTGTTGAGAAGGACCAACATCACACCGCCCTGGGGGAGGAAGGGGAATGGAGAAACATTAAAGAAGATCAGGACTTGCCCAAAACTACCCTAAGAGAGAGGACCGAGTGAAACCAAAAACTGACCCCCAGAATCTCCCCAAGTTGCAAGAGTGGATGAAATGAGAACTAATGTCCCAGAGCCCTGGTGGGTGGGGCTGGTGGGGGTGGTGTCAGAGGGAAGTGAGAGGCACTTGACATGAGGAAACTTCCTAGCTGCCCTACCTGGAAGTACTGAGTTCTTGCTACCAGTTTTTCTGACTCTTGTCCAGGACTTCTGTCCCTCTTTCCCAAGAAAGGGCTAACAGTTCTCTGGAAATAAAACCCCTGTTAAATTAGCCTGACATATGCAAAAAAGCAGGGAGACATCACCGATTACTGGCCACTGGTTTTGATTTAGCCCTACCTGGCTAGTGACTCCTAGGAAGAACCAGCCAGTCAGAGTGGCCACTTTTAGTTTATTTCAACACCAGATTCGACCATGGCCCATTTCTTACAGGTCCTTTAGAGAAGGCCTCCAGGGAAGATACCCTGGTTTCCTTCCTGGTAGTTGACCACAGCGAGGAGTGTCATTTCACCCCAAACCACCACTTTATCATGAGGGCAGAACCAAGAGGGGCTTCTAGTGCCTGGCTGGAGGGGGCTCTCCTGAGCAGAGTGATCAAAAGCCATCCACTTGCCGGAGAGGAGCCTGCTTCTACTTGTGCCTGCCTCAGAAGGTCCCTTCAGGCCAGAGTGCTGCATTCGCCAGAGGCCGGCCAGCCAGCACTTAGTACTTAAGACGATGGAGAAGTCCATGCTCACCTCCTTGTCGAGGTGTCCCGGGCGTAGTCTTTTCACCAAGGCAGGCTTTTCTTCTGACCGCTCCCGCACTGTCTTCTGCTCTTGGGGACAAAGGAGACTATAGGATGTTTACAGCCTCCATATGAATTTAGTGTTCATTTACCTCAGTATTACCTTGTTCGTTTTTGTCCACGTGCTTACAGTTAGCTCCCCGCTGCCTCCCACGGGTCTCACTCCAGCTCTTGCTTGTGGCTGTCCCCCGCCCCCTAGCCTCTGGGCTCTGCCTCTGCTCTAAGAAATGCTGTGGGCGTAGAAAGCCAGGAAGGACATGCTGTTGGGAATGTGCACTTTGGCACAGGCAGCCCTGTTACAATACAGCTCTTAGCGCCGAGGCCAGCGACTGGGTGCCCAGGATCTTAAATTTCACGCACATCAGTCCTGACCCCTAACAGCAGAGACGAGATGAAAGGGGTTGGTTTGCTAGTGAGTCAGATGGGGACTCTCTCCTTGTCCTGCTGTCCGTTTGGGTCGCAGACAGGGATTGACCATCTTGCTGTTGTACAGGTAGTGGTGTTGGATTATCCCATTGAAGCTGGGACAGCTGTTCTCTTCTCATAGTAATAACTTGGGTCTGTTGTCCTCTAAGGAACATGAAACATACTTAAGCTGAACCACGTAAACTTGAATTCTGCACACTGGGTGAAATGTGTCCTGTGTTTCAAGGATAAAACTGTTCCAAAGGCTTCCAGGGTCATGATGGGATTTTTTAAATAAATGCAAAAAATAAAAATAAAAAAGAAAAAAGAAAACCAAAAAAAAAGAAAAAAATGCTAGGTTGGGGAGGCGCTGTTCTGAATCCCAACCAGCTGGAATCAAGAATGTCGTTTCTATTTTTATAGAAGTTTTATACAGCTCCGGGGTGGAGAATATTTATTACCTAAATTATATCTCTGGAAAAGGCCAGGATTTTGTAGAATCCAGAATGTGATTGTTATACACACAGGGTGCTGTGTATGATTGAAACTACTGACTTTCTGTGGCCTGTTTGCAGCCCAGCCAATCTGCCAGAGGGGGAGGAATTAATGCTGTGAATTGGCGGAGGAGAGAGCTGTGCTCTCCAGGGCGCTGTGGTGCTGTGATCGCTAACCTTCTGTTATGTCTTCCTCCTTGGCCATCGTGGGGTTTTCCAAATCCCAGAACTCCACTCTGTTCCCACTTTCCCCTTCCCTCCCTCCTTCCCCAGTTCACCATTATTGTCCACAGACTTGTCCTGGGCTCTGGGACCTTCAGAAACCCCTTTCCAAATGACTTGAAAGGCAAAGGTGTGATCAACCTGCCTTTGATACCAGGCCCTGAGGATTCACTCCTGCTTGTGGGTTCTCTTTTCCAAAAGGATCATTTGCCCCAGCAGGGCCCTGGGCTGCCACAGCAGCCCCCTGATGAGATGGGCGCTTCTGTCTGTTCTCTGCCCCTGCCCAGTGAGTAGCGCGGCAGCACTGCCCTTGAGCACAGTTTTCTCCCCAGGCCAAAGAGGGTTTGTGAAGGCGCTGCTCCCCTATGGGCCTCACGGTGTGAGAGTGTTCATTTTGGACAGTGGAGACTCGCAGTCAAGTCTTAAGCAACCTTTTACTGTTGTGTGGGGGTTTCATTTTCATAAATGTGTTTTCTCCTGTAGTTTTTTTTTTTGTTTGTTTCTTACTTGGGTTTCATCATGAAATTGGTTTGCCTTGAATGCAGCTAGACACTGTCTCCTGGGTCCCACATGAGTGGCCAGGGCCTGCGTGGAAGCTAAGAGCTTGGATTTCTGGGAACAAAGGGCCATCCCCACAGGATTGAGGAGAAGTCCTGGCCCTCTCCCCTCAAGAGTTCTCACACCATGCTTCTCCTTCCTTCCTGGGTGTTCAACAGGGAGTTGGAGAGGCGGAGGCTCTGCTCCCCCAGAGGCCTCTTAGATAGATGGGTTTGAACACTTCAGGGGAAATCCAAGCCTTAGTTTCCCTTCTGTCTCTGGCAGTTGGATGTTTTCTTGGTGTCCTCCATGTCCTTTTTGACTTTTCCCTGTGTCCATTGTTAGCATGTGCAAAAGTCCCCTGTCATTACCCAGCCCTGCCCCGCCCGCCTCCTCATTTCAGGGCTGTACACAGTGAGTGTTCCTGTTCTCTCTCTCTTTGTTTGGATGTATTGCTCTGTGTAACTCAGTGGGTCTCCCTCTTTCTGGTTTGTTTTTTTTCTAGATTCCTGCCGTTTGTTCATCGTTGTGCCTAAAGCATGTCGATGTGGCGTCAAGTACATCGTCCAAATCCCTGTCTCTTCAGCTTCTCTGATGCTTGAACTCTCACCTTTGACCTTGTGTTGATCTTTGATGCTGATGTGTATTTTTATTATGTTTGTTTCTTTCTTTGTTTTTTCTTTTTTCTTTCCTTTTTTTTTCTTTTGTGCTGCCAAATTGGTTTTGCTAGAACGACTGCTGAAGGGGAAATATTTAAACTTGCATTTGAATATAAAAAAATCTATTTTTCTAGAACTTCATAAGATAACCACTTGATTTTGTGATTCCAATTCTTTGTAATTGTCTTCAGAGCAGCCCTACTAGCACATACCGCGTGGTGTTTGTATTTCTGTGAACACACAGCCAGTCCGTTTCTAGGCTTTGTTTCTGTGTGCTTAGTTTTAAAGACAACTTTGAAGTAAACAATGAAATAAAAGATGTCACTGAAACCTTTGAGGCTCCTGAGCACATTTTGCTGATACAGTTTGTGGGGCTTGAGGAGACCGCATGTGTTATTTTTGTTTTTCTGAGCTCTCAACTGCAGAGAACACCCAAGCCCCCTTTCCTTTTTGACAGCAGCTGCAGTTCGGGCCCCAGCCAGCCCTTTTCCTTTGGAGGGTCTTCCCTGCAGCCACCCTGCAGGGGCCTGCAGATCCCTCGGCCGTTCCCTCCATGCTTGTTCCTACAGTCTCCACAGCAAAATGTGATGCTTCGATTTTTTGTTTTGTTTTTGTATTGTTTTTGTGCTTTTGTTTGGATTTTTTTCCTTTCCTAGTAAGATTATGCCCAGAAAAAACAAGTTTTGCATGTTTCCTGCTGTTTCTTCACACCTTCTTATATATCACCTTCACCTCTCTGTTTTCTATAGTTTGTGCAAAAACTGACCGATTTAAAAAGGTTTCAAAGAAGCTGTTTTAAATTGTTGTGGGGTTATTTTTTCAAGATTGTATTGTTTATTTTGAAGTGGCGACGTTCTCCTCTGTTGCCCTTAGAGCCGTTTGCCTGTGCACTTAGACTGTCACCTTGCGTGGCCTGAGGCCTTGGCAGGGCCTCCAGGAGGCCGCTGCCCTGTCGGAGATGGGCTGGGAGGGCACCAGGAGAGGCATGAGGAACAGAGGTAGAAGCCAGAAGGTGGCTGCGGGTGGGCAAGAGGCTTAGCGTGTTAAGGGTCGTGAGTATCCTTCGGTCCCAAGGAAGGAGGGTGCTCTTCACCGTCGGAGGAGGCCGTCTGTGCACTAAGTGGCAACATACCTGCTAGCGTTTTCCTAGGTGACAAGCACAATACTACAGTCTTCACACTGTTTACAGCCCTGGCCACCAGCTGCCCCACACTGGCTCTTCACCGCAGCTCTGCTCTTGCTTAGCTAGTGGGATGGGTAAGGGCAGGGATTTGTTTTTTAAAACTGGGTGAGGAGCCAAATAGCTACTGTCCCTGGGTGCCAGGCAAGCCAGTTCCTCCGTTCCCTGAAGGGAACTTGCCCTCCTTTCATGTGGCACCATCCACCCCCAGGGTCTAAGGGCCTGAGTAAGAATGTGAACGGTGAGGGAGAAGCCTAGAGGAGGTGAGAGGTCACGGGATGGGTCTGTGGCAGTAAGAGGTTGCAGAGGGAAGAGATTGTGAGAGATCTCAGCCAGAGAGCTTAGGCTGCTAGTGGGCGGAGAAGCTGGGAAGCAGGATTGTCCAGGGAAAGGGCGAAGAGGGAGGGGTAGCCAAGGGCCCAGGGATGGGGGTGGGGAAGGTAGGAGCACTGTTAGCATCGTCCATGCTGGGGTTGATGAAGGAAGGGATCCCAGCAGAACTTCTGGTCTGGGACCCAGCAGGTTGCCTAGTATTATGCTTGGACCACTCTTACTGGAAGGAAAGGGCAGGCAAATGAAGGCCCAGTGTATGGTAGACTCCTTAATTTCCTGGAAGGGGCAGTTGGATGGAAAGAGGCCAGGAACCCCAGCCTGAGCAAGACTGCCCTGCACCCCACAGTCTGACTGCACAGAGCTGCCTCTGTTGGCGAAGGCGCTGAGGCCCCCCTTCCTGTGTGTCAAAATCCATGTTTGCCAATATATTTTGCTTTCAATTCCAAGAGGAGCTCTGGGAAAACCTGTGGATAAAACCAAATGCCAAACGTTGGACGTTGTTTCCTTTTCCTTTTCTCTCTCTGATTGTTTTAATTGTTCTGTGGTGGTTTTAATGGATTTGAGACCCTGGAGCGGCAGCTGCCTTTCTGATTTCCAGCTGCTTTTTGTGAATAATTTAAAAAGAAAAAAAAAAGAAACTTTACATTTTGGAGACAAACCTGTGTGAGTTTTTTATTGGTACAAACGTTGTATTTAACACTAGGGGTTTTGTACAGTTTTTTGCCTTTTCTACTAGAAAACAATGTAAAGTGATTTCACAATGTGAAGAGAAAAAATTGCCACTATGACCAAACGCACAGTCTGTTCTGCAGCAACAACGGGATTCAATCAGCTCAAAGTCGCGATTCAGCCGTAGAAATGCTTTTCCTTTACCTTGTTTGAGCTTTTCCTTTCTTTCCTGTTTTGATTTGCAAAAAAAAAAAAAATGTCTTTTTGTGTGAACTTGTGTTGTACTATGTAGAAAATTATGGATTTTACTTTAATGGGTTAAAAAAAAAAGAAGAGCCCTTGTTGCTTTTCTGACCTGATCACAGAGTTTGTGTAGTGGATTAAAAAAGGAAAAAAAATGTTACAAGTTTGGAGCGAGGGAGTATGTGTTTAAAAAAAGAATCGCCTTCCTTTTTTTGTGTGTTTTTCCTTTTGTCCCAATGGGGAACCTAAATCTGTTTTAATTGCACAGACACACGGACAAAAAGTCATTTTGTATCTGCCAAGTGTGGTACCTTCCTTTGTTTATTTGCTATTAAACTGTTTGAGAAGAACTGGTGTTGTCTTCAGAGTTGTTGATTGTTGGAGTGGGCGGTGGGTTTGGGGGCCTGTGGCATGGGCGGCCTTCCCAGAGAAGGGCGGGTCCCCTGGTTTCACTTTGGTACAGCCGTCGGTTTGCCCCTGAACCTGCCAAAGCCTCCTGGAAGAAGAAAGTGTCTCCCAGAAAGCTGCCTTCTCCTCCATCACCTGTTCTTTTGCAGTAACCCTGCTAATACAGAGGCACCTCACAACTTTTTTGGTCTTAATTTTCATGCTGCTTTTTCTCCCCATGCCACACTGCACAATGGGCCCAAACCTGTGAGTGCAAGTCTCTCCCTGGGAGGTGGAGTTCCTGTGCAGGGGGAGGCTGCCGGCCAGTGTGGAGTCCAGAGCGTGGCCTTCTTCCTCTCTGGGCCTTTACCGCCACAGCCCAAGTGGGGCTGCTTCTTCCCCCTCACTCTGCCCTCAGAACAAGTCACAGCAGGGCGTTTCTAAGGTTCCTGGGCTTTTCTGTTAATCATTAATTCTAGATTCCTCTCCAAGGGAGGCCCTACATCAGGGCCTTCTCGGTCCTCTGAATGACAGGTGCTGCCGCAGGACCAGGAGTTTTGGGCCCTCCTCTGGGAGGCCAGTCCTTGTGCAGCTGGTTCCTGGCTAGAGAAATGCCACCAGCAGATGGCCTGTGGGTAGGCCAGGCCCCAGGCCCGTCTCACCATGGGCCCTCTGGCAGAGGGCAGTGTCTGGGGCAGTACATTGGAGTTCTGAACACCAGTAAACTTGGGAATATTGTTTTGTCATTTGTAATGGTTAAAAACGTGTTGCTAGCCCTGGCCGGAAGGCTCAGTTGATTGGAACATCATCCGTGCACCAAGGAGGTTGCAGGTTTGATCCCCAGTCAGGGCACGTATGGGAGGCAATTGATGGATATTCTCTCTCACATCAGTGTTTCTCCCCCTCCCCCTTCCTCTCTAAAGTCAGTAAGCAACTTTGGGTGGAGGGCTATAAATACATGTATTTAACTAAACATCAGAACTTCCTATTAATGGGCAGTGACCATCCTAGCTGCTGCTGTTCGTTGACTGCAGTCCCAGTGCTGTGGGAAAGAACACTTAGTACACGTTTTATGCTTGTCTTCCCCCCTGCCCCCTCCCCAAAGATCCTTTACTGAGACCTGCTTCAAACACTTCAATCCTGATCCTTTGAGCTCTGAATAAACTTCAGACTCTCTGATGGCTGAGCTGCGTGAAGTCTTCAGAGTGGCAGCAGCATGCACTGAGAATGAAACCAGGCAGGCTCCCAGGCCTTTTCTCGTAACCACTACTGAAGAGACACAACTCAGTAAAAGCCAGTGAGTAGATGGGCTCTAGTTAACCTGTGCACCCTCGCTGCATGTGATTGTGCATGCTGTCCTCTGGGCTGTTGTGAAAGGAACTCGGGGGACCCTGCGGCTCTGTGGCTCCTTTGGGTGGTGAATCGTCGCAGCTCTGCCCTCCTTAGAGCGGCCGTCTTGGTGTTCAGGGGTTTCTGCAGTGACTCGGTGCGCCTGGGGTACCCCAGTTCCCGAGAGGACTGGGATGTCACTCCTGCCGTACGATTCTCTCCTGGACTTGGCACCACCGAAACTATTTGCTAATGTTCATTTTAGCCTTTTTTATCGTGGTAAGATACACGTATAAAGTTTTCTGCGTGAGCCATTTTAAGTGGGATTCAGGGCCACTCAGCACGTCATGCAGCCATCACCACCTAATTCTGCTTTTTCCAAAGTTGAAATGTCTCTGTTTCCACACAGGTGGGTGTCATTCAGTACATTCGGTTAAGGTGCTGTTGCTTCTGAATATCCCCAGAAGGAAAACAAACGGGGACATGTAGATACCACTTTGGTTAATGTATGCATTATAGGGAAGAATTTGTGCCGCACTGGAAAACTGGCATTTTTCATGGGGAGCTCTTTTTACACCTCTTAAGCTGTAGAAAACTGATGGTGATGCACAGATAGTTCTTTTTTTATTTAATAATTTTGTGTTTTTATCACCACTTAGTCCTCTTATTACCGGCCCCCCACAATCACCACACTGTGTCCATGTCCACGAGTCCTTTTTCCTTTTTGCTCAGTCCCTCCACCCCCCAACCTCCCCCAGTAGCCGTTGTCTGCTCTCCATCTATGAATCTCTCTGCTTTGCTTGTTTGTTCAGTGTGTTCATTAGATTCCACATACGAGTGAAATCATATGGTATTTGTTTTCCTCTCACTGGTTTATTTCACTTAGCATAATGTTCTTTGGGTCCATCCATGCTGTTGCAAAGGGTAAAACTTTTTTTTACAGCTGAGTAAGTATTCCACTGGGTGACTGTCCCATAGTTGTATCCACTCATCTACTGATGGACTCCTGGGCTGCCTCCATATCTTGGCGATTGTAAACAATGCTGCAATGAACATAGGGCTGCTTATGTTCTTTTGGATGTGTTTTGGGTTCCTTCGGGTGTATTCCCAGAACTGGGATCTCTGTGTCAGAGGCAGATCCATTTTTAATTTTTTGGGGTATCTGCACACTGCTTTCTTTCCCAGTGGCTGCATCAGTCTGCAGTTCTCACCACCAAATGTTTTAAAGCAACTTGCCGCGCACTTTTTTAACTTCAGTTCATCTGATCATTAGAATTTGTGAAATTTCCGCATATGACTTCAAAATACACATTAAGCTACACTACCGTATATGTATGTATATGTATATGTGTGTATATATGTATAGGTATGTGTATATATGTGCGTATATGTGTGTGTATGTATATAAAGTACCCATTTCACGCCATTGTAGGGCTGCGTTCACACTTTGAGAAGTTGGGTCAGAATGAAGAAGCTGTGGACTCCCTTCTCAGAGCCATTTCCTCTGTAATGAAACGGTGGTTGAACCTGAAGTTCTCTCTCCTCCTAGCACAGACTCTCCTTTAATGGAAATGCAGTTGGCCGTGGCTGGTGTAGTTCAGTTGGGCGTCATCCCACAAAACGAAAGGTCTCTGGTTCAATTCCTGGTCAGGATACGTGCCTGGGTTGTGGGTTTGGTCCCCAGTCACTGTGCATACAAGAGGCAACTGAGCGATGTTTCTCTCTCATGTCAATAGTTTTCTTTATCCCTCACCCTCTTTGAAAAAAAAAAAAAAAGTTGAAGTATAATTGACCTTTACTAGTTTCAGGCGTACAACATAGTGATTCGATATTAAGTACGTTATTAAGTGACCCCAGTAAGTCTGCTTACCTGCGGTCACTGTACGAAAGTTATTACAGTGTTATTGGCGGTGTGCACTGGGCTGTTACCACATCCCCATGCTAGTGACGATTTTTCTATGACTCAAGATCAAGGTGATCAAGATCTCTATGTTTCTGCCTTAGAATTCTTGAGCTAGAACGTGGTATGAAAATAGAATGTTAAGTACAACTTGAATGTCTTCCCATTTAACATGATACTTAGAAGTGGTTGTTTTTCTGTAGAATTTACAAAAAGGGATGTGCCAAAATGACTTTAAGTTTTTAAAATTTAGACTTGTGTATCATATGGCTGTGTCTTAAACTATATTCCTTTTAAAAACCAACATTCCGGTGCTGGCCAGGTAGCTCAGTTGGTTAGAGCATCATCCTAGTACGCCAAGGTTTCGGGTTCAGTCTCTAGGCAGGGCACATACAAGAATCAACCAGTGAATGCAGAAATAAGTGAAACAACAAAGCGCGCGCGTGTGTGTGTGTGTGTGTGTCTGTCTGTCTGTCTGTCTGTCTGTCTGTCTGTCTGACTGTCTCCCTTTCCCACCTCCTTTTCCCCCTCTCTCTCTTCCTTTCCAAAAGTCAATTTTTAAGAAGTTTATAGAACCTCACAGTCACTACTTTTGAGTAGACTCAGTACCTCCCCGCCCTCCTGCCCCCACTCCTGGTTCCTGGCTTAACGAGGAGAAAGCGTCCGCACCTGCACCAGCTTTCTCGGTCAGCGCACAGCATCCCTGACTCTCCCAGGTTCTGTACGTGCTGTGCCCACCTGAGCATCTCAGCCCCTGATGAAGAAAAGCCATGGGGAAGGAAATGAAAGACCAGGTTGTCCTTCACCTCTGGGAAAGTCAAACTAACATTGCGTAACAGCCCGCCGGGGAAAGAGGGTGGAGGGCTTTTCTTTTTGTTTTTGCACCTTTTCTGTTTTTGAAGCACTTTCTTTCTCAGGAGTCCTTTCAACCCCCACTGGCTGGGATTCGGTTTCTTTTGTATGTGTTGACTTTCTCTTCACTGGTAAAGAAAGGCTCCAGCCGTAGGAGGGCTGTTGGTTCTTAAATCACAGCCAACCTTGCAACGGGAAAGCGACCTGAAGCCCGAGTCAGCCTCCTGATGGAGATTTGCACACTGCAGTTTGCCTGCTAGAGCACACGGGCATCGGTTTGCAGCAGCATGCAGCATCCCCACAGCCTAATTCATCGCCCCCGAAGAAACCTCATCCTCATTAGCAGTCACCCCCATTCCCAGCCCCTGGCAACCACTCATCTTTCTGCTCTAAAGATTTGCCTGTTCCGGGCGTGTCACGTCAACTCAGCCGTACAATACATGCCTTTGTGGCTGGCTCTCCCGGAGCCCACCTCCTGCGGCCTGTTCTTTCCCTTCCCTCCTTGAAAACTGCCCCGCATTGGCCCGTGTTCCACTTGCTCCTGCCATCCCAGCCACGATTCTGCAGCCAGCCTGCCCCTTCCACTTCTCCCAGCTCCTGCTCCATCATCTGCCACGCCCAGATCTGGCCATCTTCTAGGCCTGCCTGTATTGTCCACTACAGTGACCCCCTGGCCACCGCAGCTATTGAGTATCACTCCTCCACTCACTGTGAAGCCGCATGTGCATAATGGCTTCCATATTGGACATAGAACATGCCCATCATCGCAGTCAGTGACAGGGTCAGGGCTGTTCCAGACAGGTGCTTGGCTGTAAGAATACAAACTGGCTTCATTTATGAGTCATGGTCACTGTACTGGTCCAGCAACTGACAGCACAGGGCAGTAGAGACTGAGGCACAGAGAAGCTGCAGCTCTAAGTAGCAAAGCCAGGTTTTAACCTGGATCCGCCTGGCTGAAGTGCCTGCAGAGCAAAATCCTTAGGGAGTGTCTGGAAGTGCAGCCGAGGTGCCCTGGGGAAAATCCCACTTCTGCAATGGAGCTCCGGGAGTGCCTTAGTCCTCACCAGGGCCCCAGGGCTCACAGATCAATATTCCAGACATAGTGAGTGAGTAAGTGAACAAATACCAAAAAAAAACCCAGTTATGTTTGTAAGCTTCCCAAATAAGGTGCTTCTGGCCCCACAACACATATACACTACATTGGAGTTTTTTGAAAAAATGCCACCCACTTCAGGAAAAGGGGGAGTAACTTATTTTTGGACCTCATTTACAGACTGCTAGCTCCCAGTTCGTACCCCAGTTCTTCACAGGCCCTCAGTGGCCGTGAGATCAATGATAGCCAGGTCCCTTAGAGCCATGTGACAGGGATCCTGCTGCCACAGCTTCTGAGGCAGATCACCAGGGTGGGTCCTCTGGGAGGTGGGGGTGAGCAGGCCCTCTGCTGCCCGGGGGGGGGGGGGGGGGCAAGGGAGCCGAGCTGCCTGTGGCCCTCCAGCACCAAGTCTTTCAGGACACCGTGACCTTTTTAATGAGTCGTTTGAGGGTTTCAGGGTTTTTTAATGGAAAACAACGTAGTTATAGAAGTGGGGAAAGCTGATGTTTAAGATCCTCTTTAAGATTTTTTTTTTAGAGAGGGGAAGGGAGGGAGAGAGAGAAACATTGACGGGTTGCCTCTTCCATGCCCCTGTTCCCCCAACCGGACACGGGGCCCACAATCCAGTCACGTGTCCAGACCAGGAATCAAACCAGCCACCTTTCAGTTCACAGGCCGGCACTCAACCCACTGAGCCACACCAACCAGGGCAGTTTAAGAGCCTGTTAATGTTACCACATCAACTGTGTGACCTTGAGGAAGCAACAGGATTCTCAGCCTCAGACTCCCAGCCTACCCGATAGCAATGAAAACACCCACCTCACAGGGCTGGGAGGAGGGGAGAGTGTCCCAAGCCAAGCACTCGGCACAGTGCCACCCTGGCAAGCCTTCATCCACATTGCTAACGACCCTAAATAAGTGTAAGTTAAAAATGAGCGTTTCCCCATCTCCCACAGCCCATTGATAACTTAAACAGATGGCGTAGGTAGGCTTCCAGAACTCTTCTATATACAAAAATATGTACATACGTAATTTTTGTTAATAAAAACGAGATCATGCCGTAACGTACAGAATGTTCTGCAGCTTGCGTTTTTTCAGTTACTATGTCAGGGCGCCCTTCCGTCCTGGGCACAAACACCAGTTATCGACAACTTGAATCTTTATCGGCTACATAGTATTTCCTGCCTTCTCAGCTGCTCTCCTATTAGACACCGGTTATATCTAGTTTTATCACTGGTATAAATTCTAAGAGCTAATTCAAGGAAGATTCAGGAGCTTCATCAGAGGGATATTAGTTCAGTATCTTTTTTTAATTTAAAGATTTTACTTAACTTTTAGAAAGAGGGGAAGGGAGGGAGAGGAAGAGAAACATCAATGTGTGGTTGCCTTTTACACACCCCCTACTGGGGACATGACTGATGGGGACACCGGCGCACAGTGCCCACGGTGTCATGGTTGACATATGAGACAAATTCACACAGACCACCAAGTCCTGGGGAGGAAAAGGGGCAGCACAGCTACTCCTTCAAGTGGGGAGAGCCTCAGAGCAACTCGGCCACCCTCTCAAGGGGAGAGTGCCTGGACGCTTGCCTAGACAGGCTTTTATTGGGTTTAATTTGCGCAGGAATACAGGTACAGCTCATTAATCATTGTCAAACAGTAAGGATCAAACAGTAGATAGCATACAAAGAACTATTAGGGCTTCTTCTGAGTCAGGTCTATCAGCTAAAAGGTTACAAAACTTTGGGAAACAAACTCATTTCCTGCTCGGACCTTTATCATTTAACTAAGAGCATTCTTAGCAAAGCAGGCTTCCCGGGATTTTACCTATCCTTTCTCAGGCCTGATCGCCTGGGGAGCCCGCCCTTTCCAGCACAGGGCTGCACCACCCTCTGTGTTGTTTCAGGCTTAAGTCAGGCAGAGGAGGCAAGATAGCCAAGGAATTTTAGGAGACTTCTCTCTCGGACTCAGGGGAGTTAGGCTTCATCAAAGCCGAGGAGCAAGGTTCCATCACCCCCTTTCTGCACAGCCCCCCAAGTCCTTCCCTGGGGCCTCCATGTGATCATGCCTGGCTTAGGTCGTTCCCCCCCCTTGGGGATCTTACCTGTCATCGGCTAACTGACCAAGTATTGGAGGCCAGTTATGAAAAAAGGAGCAGAAGTGGCGCTCCTGGCAGGGAGATAAGCTTTGTCTCCTTAGTGACTTATGGTCCGAAGGTTGTTCACTCAGCCTTAGCCATGGTGGCTTTTCAGCTCCTGAAACCAGGCAGGGTGGTTCCCAACACATGACTGATAACCCAGGCCTGCGCCCTGACTGGGAATTGAACCAGCAATGCTTTGGTTCATAGGCCAGCACTCAATCCACTGAGCCACACCAGCCAGGGCTAATGTCTTGTTTTCAAAGCAAGTTCTTATTTTATCTCGTTTGGTTTTCACAGAAACCTGACCAGACAGGCGCTACCCCATTTACAACCAGGAAAACAAATTTGTCAAGAGGAACAGGCTTCCGGAGGATCCCGCCAATCATGGCAGAGGGGACCCAGGACTGTGCCCTCCAGTCACACTTGTCTGTCATGCCTCGGGAGCAGAGGCTGCAAATGCAGGTGTCTGCAGGGGCCAGGCGGGTGACACCAGCAGGTGAAAAACCAATCTAAGGTGACAGGTGACACTTGGCTTGAACCTTGAAGCAAGAATAGGGACCAGCGGGGGCTGTAGTCGAAAGAGAGACATTCTTTGTCGCTGAGCACTTGACTGGTTGACAGAGGATCACAAGCCCCGCTTGCTTGGGCTTCAGCCTCCAAGAGTAGCAAGAAATGCGTGTTTTTCTGTGAAATCTCCCAGATGGCACATGTAGCCAGCCAAGTCAGAACTCTTCTGGCCTCGCGTATGGATTGTGGCTCCTGATCAGGCCCAGACTTCACTTTCTGTTTGTGATTATAAAACAGGGACCTAAAATGTGAGGCATGGTAGCTGGTACCTGACACCGCAGTCACCGAAGGCCCTGCTGTCCCCGTGCCCTGGGAAATGAAGTGGCCCCTTTGAAAAGAAAAGACCATTTTGTTTTGTGGCTCACCCTCCTGACTTCCTTTTGTCTACCTTTACTGCTGGGCATTGGTGAGCAAGCCCTGACCGTCCCCCGTCCCCTGAGCCACCTATGCATACGTGACTGCAGCCTACTCAGACCCGGCGTCTGGGTCAGCATCATGGTTGAGAATGGGACCCCAAGTCACACTCCGTGGGGACCAGTCCCCGCTCTGTCTCTAAGTAGCAGTGTGGTCTCCGGCAGTTCACCTTTCTGCTTGTGCCTCAGTTTCCTTATCTGTAAACCGGAGGCAGTGCTTAGCTCAGGAAACGTTGCCACTCTTCTCCTCTTCTCTCACTTTGCCAAGGGCTGTGCAGGCGCTGGCAGCATAAAGGGAGACCGCAGTGCTTGCCCTAAAGCAGCATGACCTTGACCTAAGTGTGCACAGCAGTCAGCAAAAAGCTGGTGACTCTGGGGCAGTGGAAGCCTTTCTCCCATCACGTGTTCTTCAAGTTTTGGAATCTTTAAAGTTCCCAAGTGCCCCGAGGGCTGGGTTCCCTGACTCCTTTGGGGCGCGGCTGCTGGCGGCTCACCTCCTTTTCTTCCTGCCAGGGACTCGTGGTCAACTCGGACCGAACTCGGGCCGAACTCGGGCCTGTCTTACTGAGCCGGACAGAACCTGCTGGCTCTTCAGCCCTTTCCTGTGGGCCCACTGCCTCGTCCTCTGGCGGTTCACTTCAACCCAGGACCCACCTTCCAGATGAGAGGAAGATCCCGGGCAACTCTCCTGGGCAGAGACTCCCTCTTCCTGTGGTCCCAACGTACTGTGGTCCAGGTTCAAGTGCACGTCCCCCTGGAGGGTCCCAGTGGCCTTGTCCAGTCCATAGGCCTATGCCTACATCCTCTCTGCCTCTGCTGAGCCATGACCATGGGGCACGGATCCCTGGGCTTACTGTGACCTCATTTATATGAAATGTCCAGAATAGACAAATCCACAGAAAGAGTGTGGTCGTGGGGTCTATTAATCCACCCAGGCTGCCGAACAAAGTACCACAGACCAGGGGACTTAGACAATGCAAGTGTGTCTTCTCTCAGCTCTGGAGGCCGGAAGGCAGAGAGCAGTGTTGAGAGGGCTGGTCCCCCTCTGAGGCCTCTCCTTCTCCTTGGCTGGTAGACGGCCTCCTTCCCCCGTGTCTGCACACGGGCTCCCCTCTGTGTCTGTGTCCTAATCGCTTCTCACGACACTGGTCACACTGGACTAGGGCCCACTCTACTGGCCTCACTTTGCCTCTTTAAAGACGGTGTTTCCGAATCGGTCACGTTCTGAAGTGCTGGGGCCAGGACTTCAGCGTGAGAAGGGAGGTTAAGGGGGCACACAGTCCAGCCCTTGACACAGGAGGACTGGGGAGTGACTGCTGGTGAACACGGAGCCTCTGTTTGGGGCGATGAAAATGTTCTCGAATGAGTGATAATCAATGGTGAAAACCGCTGCCGTACTCTGAAGGGGTGCGCTTTGCCCTGGTAAGAGGAGCCTGGTTTGCAGAGGGAGGAGAACATGGGGTGCAACCAGCTGGCAGGCTGGCAGGGGTCCCGTTACCGGGGGCCTCCCAAACCCCAGCAGCCCCCCGCATGTCTGCCCCCCACGGAAGACTTTGCCCTTCTCCACAATGTCCAGCATGAGAGCCAACACTGCAGACCCTTCTGACTGGGATCGGAATGGGGACAGTTTGTTTATTTACTTGTTTATTCATCAGTCTTCACTTGAGGACATGCTTATTGATTTACTGGTTTTAGAGAAAGAGCAGGGGGAGGGACAGGGACAGAAACATCTACACAAGAAAGCAACATCGATCGGTTGCCTCTGGAATGCGTTCCGACTGGAATCGAACCCGCAGCCCAGGCATGTGCCCTGACTGGGACTTGAACCCATGACCTTTCGGTTTACAGATGATGCTCCAACCGACTGAGCCACACTGGCCAGGGCAGGACACTTTTTAAACCTCCGAGGGCCAACTTCCTTCCCTGGCGGGCACTTAGCCGTGTAACAGACGCAGCTCAGGGTGACCTCTTGGTTATCGATACACAGGGCGTCTCCCGTGTGCCAGGCACTGTTCTAAGTCCTGGTCAAGCAGTGTGTCACTTGGCTCTTCAAACAATCTGGTGAGATCGGTACCATTTTAAAGCCACGCTGCCCACACAGCCAATAAACGGCAGAGTCAGAACTCGGACCCTGGCAGCCTGGCTCCGGGGCCTGTGCTGTGACCCACGACTGCGCTGCTTTGTAACAGCCCTACGAGTTGGAGCGTATCAGTCTGTTGTCCTCATTGTACAGATGAGGACACTGACGCCCAGCAAGGTCCGTGACTCGGCGTGGGTCACACCGTGAGTCAGGGTGGTGGGAACGGTGTGGGCAAGTGCATGTGGGTAAGTGGCCTTGGTGCCTGGGAAACCACAGGGACAAAGTCTGGGGGCAGGTGGGTCTGGCGGGGAGGCTGTGATTGGGGAGAGGCAGGGCTCAGGGCCGGGCCCCTGCCTCTCGCCGCCTGGGTGCCCAGGCTCAGCCCTGCTCCCCCCAGCTCTCAACCCACCCCTGGAGGCGGCTCTTTGGCAAGGCTGCGGGACAGCCGGCCCTGCCAGGGGGGTCAGGGACAGTGTCATGAGTGCCAAAGAGACATCCAAGGGGTTGCCCGGGGGCAGAGCGCCAGTGTCCCTGGGAAGCCACCTCCCAGCTTGGGGCGGAGTGCGGCAGAAACCCTCGTGACCTTGTGGCTGACATTCTTTAGTGGCCACGTGGCCCCAACTGGCAGGGACAGCTGCAGACAGGGGCCGGACCAGCTTTGTTCCCAGGGTGGCCCTCCATCGGGCCCTACTCAACTGGTGCTGCTTTCCTTCCCTGGGCTCAGTGGACAGCTGGCACTGTGGGTCCCCCGCCATGAGAGTCTAGAGGCAGCGAGCCACCAGGGTCTGTCCGTGTGGGGCTCTGGGAGGATGGGACAGGACCAGACGAAGCAGCAGATCGAGAAGGGGCTCCAGCTGTACCAGTCTAACCAGACAGAGAAGGCGCTGCAGGTGTGGATGAAGGTGCTGGAGAAGAGCTCGGACCTCGTGGGGCGCTTCCGAGTGCTCGGCTGCCTGGTCACTGCCCATTCGGAGATGGGCCGCTACAAGGAGATGCTGAAGGTGGGAGTGCTGCCGGTGTAGGAGGGTGGGGCAAAGCGGGGTTTCTCCAGGGTTTCCCGGCCTCTCTCCTGAGTCCTCAGGCTCATAGGCCCACAAGCTAGCAGCCAGGGACCGAGGCTCTGAATCCACGCCTGATGCCCTGGGTTTTTGATGCTGAATCTTGGTATGGAATTCAGGCTTGTGGCCTTGAACTTCAGGGTTCAGGGGGTCTCAAGTCCAGGAGTCTAGGTTCCAGACTTCCTGTTTGGGGCCCCGGGTCTGAGTCTGGGGGGCACCGGCTCCAGGTTTGAGGCTGGGGGAAGAAAGGTGAAAGCTCTGGGTCTGAGCTTGGGAGGGGGAGGCTCCCGGGCTGAAGCTTCCACTCAATGGCCCGGAGCAGAGAGTGCACCTGAGGCTGGATGTGGAAAGCTGGGGTCTAAGCTTCAGGGTATGAGGCTTTCGGGGATGGAGGCTCCAGTCCGAGGCTCAGGCTGACAGCCGCATGCCCACCACCCCTGCGGACAGTTTGCCGTGGTGCAGATCGACACCGCTCGGGAGCTGGAGGATGCCAACTTCCTCCTGGAGAGCTACCTGAACCTGGCGCGCAGCAACGAGAAGCTGTGTGAGTTTCACAAGACCATCTCCTACTGCAAGACCTGCCTCGGCCTGCCTGGCACCAGGGCAGGCGCCCAGCTCGGAGGCCAGGTCAGCCTGAGCATGGGCAACGCCTTCCTGGGCCTCAGCCTCTTCCAGAAGGCCCTGGAGAGCTTCGAGAAGGCCCTGCGCTATGCCCACAACAACGATGATGCCATGCTTGAGTGCCGCGTCTGCTGCAGCCTGGGCAGCTTCTACGCCCAGGTCAAGGTGCGTGCGGGCCCCAGGGGAGGGCGATGGTGGGTGCGGGCTTCCCTTGCATTACCTCGTTCATTCAGTCCTGTTTAGGTGGGGACAAGGCGGATGAGAGTCTGAGAATCCGAGAGGGAAAACGCTTACCCAGGGAGGTAAAGACTGGGTTAGGAATGACAGAGCCAGAATTCAAACCTGGACCTGTCTGTCTGACTCTCTGGGGGAATGGGAGGCTCCTGTCTGAGGGCCGGCCACGCACCTGCTCTGCCGCGTGCCTGCCGTGTGACCCTGGCCTCGGCACCTCCCCTCTCTGAACCTTGGTAGGTGCATCTGTATGACGACGGAGAGCAGGACCCACTGTACAGCATGTTTGTAAGGGTTCACTCATCAAATAACTATTGAGCATTTGCCATTTCCCAGGCACTTTTGGCCTGGGGTGCTGCGCTGAAAACCACAGCAAAGTCCCGGGCCTCAGGAAGCTTGCTCCCTAGTTGGGGGATAAGGATAAACACAGTGAGTAAGTCGATTATGTAGCCTGCCAGAAAGTGCTTCTTCAGGGGAGGGGAAGCAGGGCAGGGGCTGAGAGGGGGCACTGCAGCGTCAAACAACTGGATGTCGGAAGGCCTCCTAGAGGTGATGTAGGTGACTTGAAGATGAGAGGGTGAGCCATGTAGAAATCCGGAGAAAACATGGGAAAGAGGGAACAGCTAAGGCAAAGCTCTGCCCTGGTGGAGCACACCGGCCATGTTCCCGGGAGGACGGAGGCCAGCACAGCTGCAGCAGACGGTGAGAGGGGGTTGGAGGTGGAGGTCGCAGGGTAGGGGGGGGGCGGTTGGGGGAGGTGGGAGGGGAGAAGGCAGATTGTGAACTAGCTGATGGGGTCAGTGACCACAGGCTCCTGGTCCTGAGCCTTTGTTCTTTCTCTAGGCACCCAGGCTGCGCTTGGCCCTGGCAGGTGTTAATACCTGGCACATAGGAGACGCCTGGTAAACCTGGGGGCAAATGAGCACATAGACGGTTCGGAAGCGGAGCTGGGTTGTGAGGAAGGGAGAGTCTCCCAGGATGACTCTGAGGGTTCTGTTTTCAGCAACTAGACTGACAGGGAAGCCATTCACTGGCTACAGGAGGGTCGGAGAGAAATGGGGACGTTTTCAAACCCTTTTTTTATTGTGAAGAAAATGAACCATACAGGAAGGTCCAGAGAGTAGTGTATAGATCTCTACATATCCTTTTAGAATGAACAGTTATTAATATTTTGCCATATTTGGTGTATGCATTTTTTAATTTTCATTAAAAAATTTTTTAATTGCAGTTGACATTCGATATTAGTTTCAGGTATACAGCACACTGGTTAGACATTATATACCTTTTTTAAAAAAGATTTTATTTATTTATCTTTAGAGGGGAAAGGAAGGGAAGAGGGAGAGAAATATCAATGTATGGTTGCCTCTCATGTGTCCCCTGCTGGGAACTGGCCTGCAACTCAGGCATGTGCCCTGACTAGGAATTGAACCAGCAACCCTTTGGTTCGCAGGCTGGTGCTCAATCTACTGAGCCACACCAGCCAGGGTTTATATTTCTTATATATAAGGACACTTTCTTACATAATCGCAATTCTATTATTATACATACCATAATGAACCTCTTTCTTTATCTTAAATTTCTGTTCTTATCCTGAAAACATGCCTTTACCCTTGGCTCCCTGATCTGGAACACAAGCAGGAGTTGTACCTTATGTCTCTTAAGTCTCTTTTGGTAGAAAATTCCTACCCTCCCCTTTTATTCTCCATCATTTATTGAAGAAGTCAGATTACCAGCCTTGTAGAATGTTCCACCGTATTGTCTCATTGCTTCCTCAAGGAGTCCTGTAGTAATTATTCCTTTATCTCTTTTCCTCCCTATCACCTGGAATTTAAATAATGACTTGTTTAGGCCCTGGCTGGGATGTTCAGTGGGTTGGAGCGTCGCCCTAATACACCAGGGTCATGAGTTCCATTCCCAGTCAGGACACATGCAGGGACCAACCAGTGAGTGCATGGATGGGTGGAGCAACGGGTCGATGTTTCTCTCTGTCTCCATCTCTCTCACAAATCAATAAAAATACATACATACATGCATGCATGCATGATGACTTGGTTAGATCGAGGTGACACACTCTTGGTAAGGATGCTGCACGAACAGGGCCGTGTTCTTCATGCCACATCATGTTGGGTGTTGAGGGAGTAACTAACTACCTGATCCTCCGTTGTAAGGTTTGGTTTCGCCTTTCTTGACCAGCAGGTGAACTTGTCGGGTGACACTGGCACCCCGGGAACGTTCTGTTCTACAGTGACATTTACCATAATGGTTTTAGCGTCCACTGATGATGTTTCCTGCCTGGATTGATTCATTCACTTGAACTCTGATAAAATGGCCATTTCCAAGTTCTCTCCTTCCTGCTACAGTTATTAGCTGGGACTTTTCTATACGGAAGAACTTGTCCTGGTCTATCAGGGCTAGTTGGTTACTTTGAAATACAGTCTCTAAAGGAAGGGCCGAGATACCGTTAAATACTTCCTCCTTTTCCTTAGTCACCGATTTCAGAATAAGTTGAGGGTCACACTTATCTGACTTGCTTCCTCTTTCTGGAGCATTACTGTGAAATCATGGATTTTCTGTAGAGTCAGTATCCTTCAGTCAATGCAGTCATTGTTCTTTTTGCTGTTCATGTTCTCTAGCTTCAGTGAGTGGGATTCCCTCCGGTCTGGTTCCAGGGCCCTTTGACAAGAGCCACTTGGTCTCAGATAGGGCTCTGCTTTCTGGCACAATACAGTGTCCTGGGCTCATTTTCTATCTTCCTTGCCTTAGACCTGGAATCGGCCATGTCCTCGGGTTCTTTTTAGTGGGAAACGGCATTTAAAGGCAAACTGTGGCCTCTCAGCACGCTCCTTGTTGCTGGGTTGTCGTTGCCTCTGAATCTTTTCAGTTGCCAGGATGTTACATGGTGATGTTTCCAATTCACATCTAAGTTTCAGGATTTAACTTATTTTAAACTTGATTCTCTTTTCTCTTAGACTGAAAATCTTGGTTTCTAACAGTGCAATTAAATATTTTATCCTACAAAACACATTAAAAAGTTTCAAAAGATAATACCAATATTACTAAAAAAGTGACTGAAGGAAGTCTAAGATTCCTTTGCTGTGTTTTGGATTAATACATCCCACCATGGAGGTGCTATCCAAGTATATGTACTGAGTTTACTTGAAATAACTTTTGTTTTTTGTTTTGTTTTGTTTTGTTTGACTATGAGGAGACATTTATCGAAGCTGTGGACAGTGAAACAAGGAAGGGCTTAGTATAGAAGAAGTAACAGGAGAGCTCATGGCTACCTGAGCTCGCTGGGAAGTCAGAGAAGGGGGGCTTTGGGGACAGGTGCAGGGGATTCTCCTGGGACCAGCTGCCAGCTGCCCACTACTTCAGAGTTTAGGGGACATGTGCCTGTGAAGAAAGAAGTGGGGGTGGGAGGAGAAGGAAGGAAAGGGAAGGAAATCTCAAGTTTTTTTCCATGTGGTTATAGCTAATATAGTATTAATATAATGCAATATACTATATTATGATGAAATATAGTATATTGCATTGCATTATATGTAATGATATATTATAACAATTCTATTATAATATGTATTTATCATTATCATAATTACAATATAATAATATACAATTAGAGTGATTTAAAGCTTTTTAAAATTAAATGTATTTATTTGTTTTTAAATATTTTACTTACTTTATATTTTCGAGAGGGGAAGGGAGAGGGAAAGAAAGGGAGAGAAACATCAATGTGTGGTTGCCTCTCATGCGCCCCCCACTGGGGACCTGACTGGCAACTCAGGCATGTGCCCTGACTGGGAATAGAACCGGTGACCTTTCCGATTTGCAGGCCGGTGCGGAATCCACTGAGCCACACCAGCCAGAGCTAAATTTATTTTTTAAAAACTATAGAATATTTATATGGCTTCAAGTTTAAAAGCGCATAACCAAATTGGTAAGGAGCGGGTTTCTGTTGGGGTTATTGAGAATTCTCTTTTGGTCGTATTAACTCCGAGGTGCTGGTTGGATACGCAGTGAAAGAGCAAAGAGGCTTTTATGTGAAGGATCTGAAGCAGTTGTAGCCAAAGGAGACGTGAGGTCGAAGAAGATTGTTGGATTTTGAGTTTTGTTTTCCTGTCTTAAATGAGCTGAGACGCGCTGATAGGATTTGTCCTAGAGCCCCAGGAAGGACTCACACGGGACAGGGGTGGGGAGCCCTCCTCCTCAGGAGCAGGAGGGAAGCAGAGGAGTCCACAGGGTGGATCTGATGGATAAGCTGCTTAACAGAGCTTCTCTCTGCTTTCCTTCTGTTTTCCCAGTGGAGCGTGAGGTGAGGTCGTCAGCTCAGGGGGCGCAGGTAGAAAGGCCTTTCGGAGGTTTGCAAAGAAAGGGTGAGAGACTGGTTCCACTGCCTCAGTGAGTCCGAGCGGGGCAATCAGTCACGGAGCCTTCGGGGAGCAGCTGCTGCAGCTACTGGAGGCAACTGCGAGCGAGAGGGGTGGGGCTGGGGCTCTGGTCTCCCGTGACCCCCACCCTTCCGTGTGTCTGGGAAGCTGACAGGCCCAACTGGGACTGTGTGAGAAGGGAAGCCAGTTGTATATTCTTGCCTATTCATTCATTCATTCATTCATTCATTCAGCAATATTTATTGCGTATCTACTAAGTGCCAGGAACTGAGCAGTGGGTTGTTCTCCAACATCGGCAAACCAGGTGAAAATCCCTGAATTCGTGGAGCCTTTGCACCGGCTGTTCCCTCTGCCTGGATCACTCTTTCCCGGGACTCCAGAAAGAATGAGTCAATAGCCAGTGGGGTCTAGGGCCCCCTGACTGCCAGAGAAGCCAGGGCCTGCAGCCCTCAACCTCGGCAGCTCCTCAGACTCAGCGTGCCCCCTCCCACCCTGCCCCCTCCCTGTGTCCCTGCAGGACTACGAGAAAGCCCTGTTCTTCCCCTGCAAGGCCGCAGAGCTCGTCAATGACTATGGCAAAGGCTGGAGCCTCAAGTACCGGGCCATGAGCCAGTACCACATGGCTGTGGCATATCGCCTACTGGGTCACCTGGGCAGTGCCATGGACTGTTGTGAGGTGGGGCAGCAGGGCAGGGGGGCGGGTGGTGGTGTGAGCCAGAGTCTGGGGCCCAGAGCAGGTGGGCCTCCTCCTTCCAGATCAGCCCCAAGTCTTGGCCCTTGTCCAACCTTTCTATAGCTGAGACCCTGAACGATGCATGTTTCCCCCGCCCCCAAACCTCCAAACCTCACTCCTTTCCAGCTCATTCTCAGGGGCGTGGGCTTCTCTCTGCCCCCCCCCCCCATCCTCTGTGGGACACTTTAAGTAGGAAGCAAACCAGTCTCTGAAGTTCCGCTGACCTGGGTTCACATCCTAGCTTCGCCCCTTACTAGCCAGGCGGCCCCGATGGAGTCATTTCTGCTCTCTGAGCATGTTTGCACTTCGCTGAGACCCCTCTGGTTTGGTGTGTGGGGCCTGAGAACCGGGACTGGTGTATTGGGCTCTGAGGACGTCGGTGATCCCTGGGCTGCCGGTCAGAGGAGCCCCCTGGGCGAGGGCGCCCCAGGGTTGGGGGCAGGCGGGCACACCTGGGTGACAGGCCTCTATCACAGGAGTCTATGAAGATTGCGCTGCAGCATGGTGACCGGCCACTACAGGCTCTCTGCCTGCTCTGCTTTGCTGACATCCACCGGAGCCGTGGGGACCTGGAGGTGGGGTCACCGGGAAGCGGGGGTCGGGGCTGTGGGCCTGGCCCAGCCTGACCCCACCCCCACCGGCTGTGCAGACAGCCTTCCCCAGGTACGACTCCGCCATGAGCATCATGACCGAGATCGGAAACCGCCTGGGCCAGGTGCAGGTGCTGCTGGGTGTGGCCAAGTGCTGGGTGGCCAGGAAGGCGCTGGACAAGGTGAGATTGGGTCCAGTCCTGTGTCCCCCAGCGCTCCCAGTGCTCCCAGCCAACAATCTGTGTGTCTGGTGCTGGGCAGGGCTCTTCCAGACACTTTGTCTGGTGTGAGCCCCACCGCAGTCCCAGCGTCCTGAGTCAGCTTCCAGGCTCAGAGGAGGCCCTGGCGTTGCCCTGTCACACGGCTAGTGAAGGGCCAGAGCTGGGGTTTGAACTCAGGATGCTTTAACTGCTTCCCAGGATTTCACAGCACCTGCAAGACAGACATATTTTCCCCTTCTGTATCTGGGTAAACCGAGGCAGGCGGTAACTTGCCCACACAGCTCTTGCCACAGCAGCCCAGTCTCTTCCCACTGTCTTTGCGCCCGGGACGGCCGCCCGCCCATGTCACCCCCCCCAGTGCCTGCCCTGCTTCCTTTCCCACAGGCCAAGGCCTCTGTCAGGCAGCTCTGTCCACAGCCTTGGCCTGTGCTCGCCTTCCAGGCTCTGGATGTCACTGAGAGAGCCCAGGACCTGGCCGAGGAGGTGGGGAACAAGGTCAGACCTGCTTCCGTCTCCCGGGTCTGGAGTCAAGAGCCCAAGGTGGGACCTTGGGTGGGTGGAAAGGGCCCCTCGAGTCCGCTCCTGCCCCGAGCGCTTCCTGATCTCCACGAGTTGCCCAGCCATCCCCCGCCTCAGCTGTCCCCCTCCAGAACGCTTCGAGGGCTGGGCAAGAATTCCGCAGCTCAGAGGATATCGGAAGTCCTAGGTCTTCTTCTTTTTCGTTTTTTAAAGATTTTATTTATTTATTTTTAGAGGGAGGGGAGGGGAGGGAGAAACAGTGGGAGAGAAACATCAGTGTAAGAGAAATATCGATTGGTTGTCTCTCGTACGCACCCTGACCTGGGACTGAGCCTGCAACTCAGGTATGTGCCCTGACCTGGAATCGAACCAGCGACCTTTGGCTTTGAGGGCCAATACCCAACCAACTGAGCTGCACCAGTGAGGACCTCAGGACCTTCTTGGTGGTCATTGAAACTTCTAACAGTGACCTCCATTCACTGAGAGACGGCACCACAGGTGTCCTGTAGGCATCCCTCCCAGGCCTCACTGCTTCCCCGCACGACGGGTGGAGCAAGCCCATTTCCCAGACAAGAAAAGTGAGGATCAGAGGGGTTCTCGAGGGCCCGCTGCCTGGTAACTGGTCTGTCTTAACTCCAAAGATGTATGGCCTCTCCAAATTTAATAATTGTATCCAATCCTTTAAGTATTGGAAATAGGCTCAGTGTTTCTCAAAGTCTTCTAGAAGATGTGCATTTCTCTGGGATCGGGTAATAGTCCAACTGAAATGCCAAATAAATGTGCCTTTGGCTTGGTTATAGCCACTCGGGTCTACCCAATGTCCAGGGTTGATCAGAGATGCTAATAAGCTGTTTTTGTTTTTAAAATTTTATTTATTCTTAGAGGGGAAGGGAAGGAGAGAAACATCAGTGTGTGGCTGCCTCTTGCACACCCCCTACTGGGGACCTGGCCACACAGGCATGTGCCCTGAGTAGGACTTGAACCAGCGACCTGTTGGTTCACAGGCTGACATTCAATCCACTGAGCCACACTAGCCGCCATTAAATGCTAGCAAGCTGTTGTTACAGTTAACTAATGGAACCAGGAAAACAGTTATGGAGTCAACACAGCAGCTTTGGTCAATAAAACCCTTCAAAAACATGGGATCCCCAGCTGGCACTAGGGGTGAAGACCACTGACCTCAGCACCCCCTCTTTCTGCATGAGAGGACAGCAAGGCCCAGAGAGGGCAGGGCATTTTCCTTAGGTCCATCAGCCGGGCAGGAATATGCCCAAGACTGGACCCCGTATGACCTGACTGCCTGGTGACCCCTCGGGGAGGGAGGCGGGACGGCCGCCCACCAGCACTGACTTGGTCTCGTCCCCTCTGCCCGTCTCCTGCCCCTGCCGGCCCAGCTGAGCCAGCTGAAGCTGCACTGTCTGAGTGAGAGCATCTACCGCAGCAAGGGGCTGCAGCGGGAGCTGCGTGCCCACGTGGTGCGCTTCCACGAGTGTGTGGAGGAGACTGAGCTCTACTGCGGCCTGTGCGGGGAGTCCATCGGCGAGAGGAACAACCGGCTGCAGGCCCTGCCCTGCTCCCACATCTTCCACCTCCGGTGAGGGCTCCTGTGGCCGGGGCAGGGGCGTGTGGGCCTCTTCGGGTGCTCTGGGGCCTAATCACAATAGTAATACTAAACAGCAGACACTTGCGGAGTGCTTTCTGCGTCCCAAGTGTTCCTCAAAACTTCCCGTATTTTGACTCACTGAATCCTTTCAGTGGCCCTGTGAGGTGGCCTTTCTTAAGGTCCTTCTCCCCAAAGAGAATTCAGAGAGGCCCCTGAAAAGTCGGCGTTCAGACACCTGGAAGTGCACCCCTTTCTGGGCCAGTGCAGTGGGCAAGCAGTGTTGCAGGCAGGGGCCTGGGGCCATCTTCCCTCGGCACCTCCCATGCCCCCGCAGAGGGAAGGGTAGGAGGGAGAGGCCCTGGCCCACGATGGAAGGACAGGCTCAGGGAGTGGACGGAGCCCTTTGCCTCCCAAGGTGCCTGCAGAACAACGGGACACGGAGCTGCCCCAACTGTCGCCGCTCATCCATGAAGCCTGGCTTTGTGTGACTCTGTCAGCAGCCGTGGGCTCCTGCCTCAGCTGCCCTGCTCCTGCTCCACCATCGCACTGCCCCCCCCCCCCGACTGGCCACGTCTAGGACGCCCCCTTACTCCCGGGAAAGCCACCAGGGCCTCCTCGGGCCTCCGCCAGGGCCCGGGGCCTGCCCACTGCTGCTCCTCAAGGCCTTGCGCTCCTCCCACCTCTTTTGCTCTTTATAGAAAAATAAACAATTTGTACCTGGTCTTGGCGATCCTGACTTTCCCTGCCCGAGGTCCAAGAGGGTGGGGGGCGGTGGAGCGAGGCTCCCCACCTGAGCCTCCTCAGACACACGCGTCCCTCTGCGCACTTGTGTGAGTGCCTCCAGCTGCGCTTCCACGTTCTTGGGATGCCAGTGAGCCAGAGACAACGATCCCTGTGGGGAGGAGGATGTGACCAACAGAAACATAATAACTGAGCAACATACACAGTCAGTTAGAAAGATGTTATGGTTTGAGTGTGTCCTCCAAAGTCCTTGTGTTGAAGCCCTGACCCTGCCCCGCCGAGACCGCATGAAAAGATAAGGCCTTTAAGGTGGAAATTAAGGTTCAATGAGGCCATAAGGGTGGGGCCCTAATCCATTAGATGAATACCCTTATAGAAGAGGAGGAGACTCCAGAGAGCTTTCGCTGTCCCTCCATGCTGCACGAAGAAAAGGCTGTGTGGGGACACAGGAAGACGGCAGCTATCTGCGAGCCAGGAAGAGAGCCTTCACTGGAAACCTGATTTGTTAGCACCTGGATCTTGGGCTTTCCAACCAGCAGAATCGTGAGGAAATAAATTCTGTTGTTTAAGCCCACCCATTCTCTGGTGTTTTGTTATTGCAGAAGTAATGGCAAAAACAAGTGGGCTATCACAACAGTGATGAGTGGTTTGAGACAACGAAGAATCAAGCAGTGTTCCTCTACCTCATCTTCATCCCTTCCCTTCTCTTCTGCCCTAACACCATGAGGTGGGACGAGCAAGACAGGCATCCTTGGGGAGGGTGGCTTGGTGTGAGGCATTGGGGCCCCAGCAGTCAGAGCCCAGGGGAAGCTCCCGTGTGGGCAGGGCCTGCCTGGGGAAAGGAGAGTGGCCGCACATATGGTGCCTCACTCTGGGGTGTCAGAGCCCACGCAGGGTGAGAAAGGAGCTCAGAGGGCAAGGCCTGGTGCTGGGTATTGGCGCCAAGCAAGGTGAGGAGGACTCCACGCAGATGGTGGTCAGGAGTGGAGCCTGAGAAGGGCATCTGCACACAGGCCAGCCTGGTGTGCTATGATGGAGCCAGAGCAGGGAGGTGAGGGCGCTCTGGAGGAGAAAGGCCTCACGTGGGGACCGGTGCCTATTCAAAGGGACCAGGGCATCCACTCGGTGGTGGCGGGTGGGGTGCCGCCCAGCGCAGAGCACCAAGCTGGGTACAGAGGGGCAGCCTGGTGTGGGTCTTTAGGGCCTAAGCCAGGTAAGGACACAGCCAAGTTAAGGGAGGTCAGGTGTGAGGTGTCAGAGCTTGAGTAGGATGAACAGGGTCTGTGCGTGTGGGGCATCCGAACCAAGAGAGCGTGGACAGAAATCTGGGCATGGAAGGAAGTGGCCATGAGAAATTGCTTACATAGAGGGGATTGGTCACATGAGTAACTATACTCAGGGTAGTGGGACCCAGGTTACTATTTTTTTTTCTTTTCTTTTTTTTTTATTGATTATGCTGTTACAGTTGTTCTATTCCCCCTTTATTCCCCTCCACCCTACCCCCCATCCCCACCATCACCCCCCTTTAGTTTATGACCATGTGTCTCAAGTCCTTTAGATTCTATATTTCCCATGCTATTCTTGCCCCCCCCATCTATTTTCTATCTACTGTCTATGCTACTTATTTTCTGTACCTTCTACCCCTTCTCCTCCTCCCACTCCCCTGTTGCTAACCCTCCTTGAGATCTTCATTTCTATGTTTCCACTCCTGATCTAGCTGTCCTTTTAGTTTGCTTTCGTTTTAGGTGTGGTTGTTAATAACTGTGAGTTTGTTGTCCTTTCACTGTTCATGTTTCTTTAACTTCTTTTTCTTAGATAAGTCCCTTTAACATTTCATATAATAAGGGCTTGGTGATGATGAACTCCTTGAATTTGATCTTATCTGAGAAGCACCTTATCTGTCCTTCCATTTTAAATGAAAGTTTTGCTGGATAGAGCAATCTTGGTTGTAGGTCTTTAGATTTCATGACTTGGAATACCTCTTTCCAGCCCCTTCTTGCCTGTAAGGTCTCTTTTGAGAAATCGCTGACAGTCTGATGGGGACTCCTTTGTAGGTGACTGTCCCCTTAGCTCTTGCTGCTTCTAGGATTCTCTCCTTCATTTGAATCTTGGCTAATGTAATTACGATGTGCCTTGGTGTGTTCCTTCTTGGGTCCAACTTCTTTGGTACTCTCTGAGCTTCCTGGATTTCCTGGAAGTCTATTTCCTTTGCCAGATTGGGGGAAATTCTCCCTTTATTATTTGTTCAAATGCGTTTTCCACTGGTGGCTGTGCCTTTCCCCCTTCTGGTACCCCTATAATTCGGATGTTGGAGCATTTAAAGATGTCCTGGAGGTTCCTAAGACTCTCCTCATTTCTTTGAATTCTTGCTTCTTGACTCTTTTCTGTTTGGCCATTATTTGCTTTCTTCTGGTCCACTCCATTGATTTGAGTCCCAGTTTCCTTTTCCTTGCTATTGGTGTCCTGTGCAATTCCATTCATTTCAATTAGTTTCGCCTTCATATATTTGTCTAATTTGTCTGTATAATCAACCAGTTCTGTGAGGATCCTGATCACCAATGTTTTAAACTGTGCGTCTGTGAGTTTTGCTATTTCTTCATCGCTTAGATTTATTGGCTCTGGGGCTCTGAGATCCTCCTGCGCCATTCTTGGTCTGTTCGGGCCCTTTAAGTATGAGAAGTGGCGCCTTGGATTCCCAGGTCGCTGGGTTGTGACGCTGTATGTGGGGGCGTGGCCAGAGCGGGGAAATGGCGACCCCCTCTGCCGCTTCTCACAGCTGGGTGCGGAGGAGCAGTGCCTTAGGTGGTTCCCCTGGGCCGGGCCACTCAGAGTCGCTGGGTTATGACGCTGTATGTGGAGGTGGTGTCAGAGCAGGGAAATGGCGGCGCCCTCCACTGCCGCTTGCCGTGGGGACCTGCCGGCCCGGTCCAACCGCCCACTCCCTCGCCTGTCCACCCGCGCACAAATGCGCGACCTCAGTCAACACGCAGCCCCGGGCCCGGCTGTCTCCCCCGCGGTCGCCCGCCTGGTTGCTCGCTGGGTCGCTCACTAGGTCTGACCCTGCGCCTGGATTCCGCGGGCCTGAGTGTGTCTGGCCGAGTCCTCCTGTGCAACCCTGCTCCGCCAGCCGCTGGTTTCGCCCCTTACCGGTCAGACTGAAGAATTTGTTGTTAACGGACTTCCGAAAAGTTCAATTTTCCGTGTTTTGGCTGTGTTTTCTATTGCTAATATTTAGTTTTCTCTAATCTTGGTTGTGTGAGAAGGCATGACACATCCACCTATGCCTCCATCTTGGCGGAAGTCCCCCCAGGTTACTATTGAAAAACAGTCATGAATAAGAAAAGGAAAAACACCAGAACTGGAATTGTAGGAATCAATGTGGACTCATGGATGTCAAAATATATACCTAAAGAGAGAAAGAAGCACAGGGTGGGGTAAAAGTAGGTTTACCATTGTGAGTATGCAAAACACAGAGTTTATTCTTTTTAAAAAAGGTTTTATTTATGTATTAATAATTTTTTATTGATTGATTTTTTTTAAAAAGATTTTGTTTATTCATTTTCAGAGAGAGGGGAAGGGAGGGAGAAAGAGAGAGAGAGAGAGAAACATCAATGTGTGAGAGAAACATCGATCAGTTGCTTCTTGCACACCCCCATCCAGGTACCTGGCCCACAACCCAGTCATGTGCCCTGACTGGGAACTGAACCAGCGACCTTTCAGTTTGTGGGCGGATGCCCAACCCATTGAGCCACACCATTCAGGGCTACAGAGTTTATTCTTGTATTATTATTCAGTAATCATTGTATTATTTTCCATATGAACAACTGCAAACCTGCTTTTTCCCAACTCGGTATAGTTACACTTGCATGTTCATGTGTGTATTGGCCTGGTAGCAGTGACACGCCAATAGTAATGAGCGCATCTAGCACCCAGATCTTGGCTTCTAAAAGGAATCAAGGTTCTTGGGGGGAAATGGGCGATTCTAGGCCCGGACCAGGGAAGGTACAAGATGCGACTGGAATATCTTGGGTCAGACAGCAAAGGAAGTTGAAAGAATGATGAGGCTAATTCAAAAGGACACAAGAGCCAGTTTAAATGGGCTCTCATTGGTCCATTAATAATGACTATCTTAGCTCGGGCTGCCATAACACAATCCCATAGACTGGGTGGCTTAACCAAGTGAAATTTATTTTCTCGGAGTTCTGGAGACTGGAAGTGCAAGATCAAGGTGCCAGCAGGGCTGGTGTCTGGTGAGGGCTCTCTCTTTGGGTTACAGATGGTCACCTTCTCATTGTCCTCACAGTGCCTTTCTCTGTGCTTGTGAGGAGATAGATCTCTCTTCCTCTTCTTATAGGGCCACTAATTTCATTGTGAGAGTCTCATCCTTTTTACCCAATCTAACCCTTAATTGTGCCTCCTGAAAGTCCTATTTCCAAATGCTATCTCATTGGGGGTTAGAACTTCAACATATAAATTGGGGGGGACCCAAACATTCAGTCCATCTCAATGATAGTAACAGATTTTATTGGATAAAGCAAGAATCCATACTTACATAAATAAATAAATGACTCAATTAAAAATCTGATGAAGAATGGGATCTTTACAGAGCTCCGAAATGCTTTTTCACAAAATACTTATTAATTAATTTCAAGGGGGGAAAAAAAGAGTGACTTCCCAGTGGAGGAGGTTGGCAGACACCTGATTAGTCAAGTGAGAAAGGTCAACCTCTCCAGGGAGGAAACGATAAGAAAGCAGGTGCTACCTGAAGTAATGCAATGAGAAACTCAGCACTTCCTCCGAGATACTCCTGCCAGAGACAAAACACCTGGATGTAAAATCCTGGGGGATACCAAATAAATACAAGTTTAGAAATAGTCTACAAAGTGACTGTAATCTTCGAAAATGCCAAGGTCATGAAACCGAGGAAAGACTGAGAAACTACGCCAGATTAGAGGAGATTTGAGCACTACAACT